ACCCCTAACCCTAACCCTAACCCTAACCCTAACCCTAACCCTAACCCTAACCCTAACCCTAACCCTAACCCTAACCCTAACCCTAACCCTAACCCTAACCCTAACCCTAACCCTAACCCTAACCCTAACCCTAACCCTAACCCTAACCCTAACCCTAACCCTAACCCTAACCCTAACCCTAACCCTAACCCTAACCCTAACCCTAACCCTAACCCTAACCCTAACCCTAACCCTAACCCTAACCCTAACCCTAACCCTAACCCTAACCCTAACCCTAACCCTAACCCTAACCCTAACCCTAACCCTAACCCTAACCCTAACCCTAACCCTAACCCTAACCCTAACCCTAACCCTAACCCTAACCCTAACCCTAACCCTAACCCTAACCCTAACCCTAACCCTAACCCTAACCCTAACCCTAACCCTAACCCTAACCCTAACCCTAACCCTAACCCTAACCCTAACCCTAACCCTAACCCTAACCCTAACCCTAACCCTAACCCTAACCCTAACCCTAACCCTAACCCTAACCCTAACCCTAACCCTAACCCTAACCCTAACCCTAACCCTAACCCTAACCCTAACCCTAACCCTAACCCTAACCCTAACCCTAACCCTAACCCTAACCCTAACCCTAACCCTAACCCTAACCCTAACCCTAACCCTAACCCTAACCCTAACCCTAACCCTAACCCTAACCCTAACCCTAACCCTAACCCTAACCCTAACCCTAACCCTAACCCTAACCCTAACCCTAACCCTAACCCTAACCCTAACCCTAACCCTAACCCTAACCCTAACCCTAACCCTAACCCTAACCCTAACCCTAACCCTACCCCTAACCCTAACCCTAACCCTAACCCTAACCCTAACCCTAACCCTAACCCTAACCCTAACCCTAACCCTAACCCTAACCCTAACCCTAACCCTAACCCTAACCCTAACCCTAACCCTAACCCTAACCCTTTTTCATTCGTTTAATAGTGCAAATATTTTCATTCGTTGAAAGATTAACGTTAATTCTATTCAACTCGGCTGACGCCTCGTTGAATAGAATGTTAATCTTTCAACTCATGAACATATTCGCACTATTGAACTCATAACCATTCATTATTTGTATAATATTGCATGACATCTGGCCACCGACTTAACCATAATAAAAACTCCTGCAATCGCTCCATCACAAAGATCATTTGAAGCTGTTTCCTTGTCCTATGTCCACTTACTGCCCTATCACCCTTGACTACGCGCCTGCTTTAAAGGGAAAATGAAACAATCATAATTGTAATAGCACACAATTAGGTTAGTAGAAATGAACGGGAAAAAAAGAAAGATCTATTACACCAACCATGGATAAATCACGCCCTGGAGCGTCAGATCATAGTTTTGTGTTATCGGGCGAGGGCCGGGGAGTAGCGGCCAAGCGGGATTTTGCAATGTTGAATGCGGAAATTATGCATTCTAGAAAATTCCTAAGCCCAATATGTACGTTCTTTCCGCTATATTTTTTTCGAGCTATATTTCCTGGGGGACGTGTCCCCCTATCGGGCCAGGATTGCCGCCCCTGTCCATGATTACTACGAACATGAGTTCAAATACAAGAACAAGCGAGTCAGTGTGAGCTGAAATTAAATGAAGGGCAAAATAAGAGTTGTAAAGCGGCCCTACCGTTAATTAATTTGAAATTATATGAGTATATAGCTTCTATTTAAAAGACATCCAAAATATGGTGCCCTTTTCAAATTGCTCACTAAAGAGTGATGACCTTTGTAGCGCAGGGGCTGTTTTTAACGTTTGACTTTGAATCCGCGGCTCGAGATTTTATGCGGCCGGCCAGGCCCCCTCTATTCACGAATGTTTGTCAAGCCTTTTGAAATGACCCCAAATCTCCCGATTACAGTTTTCCCTTATTCGTCGTTACTGTCACTTAGCGCCATTTCCTTTTCTTTCCCCCTTTCTCACCCGACTTTTCTCTTCCCCCATTTTTGTGTATTACGGGCCGGACTTTGTTGGGAGATTTTGGGAACACAAATTCGGTCCCTCCGACCCCGGAGTGGTAGGTAAGGGGGGGGGGGGCGTTCTTCGTGTTATTTTCTACTTTTTTTTCTCTCTCTCTCTCTCTCTGTTTCTTTTCTCTTTTTTCTTTTCTTTTCTCTTCTCCTTTTTTTCTTCTCTACTCCTTTTTTTCTTCTCTTCTCTTTTCTTTTTTTCCCTCTCCTCTTTTCTTCCTTTTTTTTCCCTTTTTTTTGCGCCGCCAATAGGGGGGGGGGGCGCGGCCGTTTCGCCCCCCCCCCCTGGATCCGCCACTGACTTGCTCCGTTTTACCGCTTATTGCTTACTTTAGTCCTTCTTTCACATGATTTCAGTGCTATTTAATGGTATTTAATTCAGATTTCTTTCTAATTTTCTAATCTAGTTTCCATATGTTGCAATAAGCTATTTTCTCGTATTTATACTGATTTATTTTACAAATTCAATATATCATGTTATGCTATGTTATATATTACATTATGTGTTATTAATTTTGTTTGTAAACTTTTGTAATTCGGCTAAACGCCGCGATGAAAGTTATATTTGAAATAAACCATTATGAATTGAATTGAAATGTGTCATTTATTTATTATAAATGTAATTAAGTTATGATAAAACATCGATAATTATCGGTTTTGTTTTTTCTGGGACTCACTGTATATATACAAAACATTAGTCTTGCTTTAAACAAAATAGAAATTGTATGTACATGTATGTTCAATTCAGATGTTATGGCAGTGAATTAGAAACAATGAACTAACAAGATACCACTTCATGACTCTGTTGCCAATATGGGATTTCCTAATATAAATATGTTATAAATCAGATATTATTCCAATGTTTCTCTGATATTCGTTTTACTCCTCTTATTTCTTCAGTCTATAATCATTTTGTGAAAAACAGTAAGATAGTTATCACACTTTGCAATGTATTTTGATATTTACTGTATGGAAAAAGAGAAAAAACACAACTCACTTTCTCTATTCGCTTTCAATCAGAATAAAAATCTGAACCTTTTAATTCTATGTACTGTGACTCAACATATCAATCAAATACTCTAGTTTGACTATTGAACTTAAAATAATCAGATTGAACATGAAAACTAGAAAAAATAATGTTGATATAAATGGTCCTGCATATTTGCCACAAACATGTATACATTTTATAAAAGCAAATTTACAGTTATATTTGTGGTTCGCCCCTGATGGCGATGGATATGAACATATGCTACTGGATAATGCAGTATTTCTGTGATAGATATGGCACCTGCGCACAATTTATTTTACTTGCTTGTTTATGAGAATTGTCATCTGGGCCCCAACAAACGCTTACATAGACGCGCAGCATGCAGACAGTGAGTGGGAGGGGCATATGTATATGTATGTATGTACGTATATAAACAGAACTATACCTGTAATATGTGAACAATATTGTGGAGGAACAATATCTTACAGTAGAATATATATACATTACATATGGTATAATACATATATTTATATCTTTAATTGTTGATTGTGCAATATACAAATGTGGTTAAGTGATTTAAAGTATTGTACAAAGTATGATAAATTATATTGTTTTAGACGTTGAGCAGTCAGTTTATCATTTGATACATTGGACAGACACCCACCCCACCCCGCCCCAACCTCTGCCATGGTATTGGGAGTCTAATACTAACGGGATAAGTTTGAAAAGGACATGAACATGTATTAATTTAAATATAATGCAATTATATTTTTAAAAATGCAGATTCCAAATTAAAATGCACAATAACTCGTACAATCTAAAAGGAGCAAAATATGGTGACATGTTCAAGTAGTTATTTGGTTTGAAGCTACATGATGACATCATAGACAAAATACTGCTTCAACTTTAAAAGGATGTAATTTATCATTTCTATACCATATTCAACAGTAGAGTTGTCATCATGACTTAGTAAATTCAAAATCCCTTTTGACTGCATCGTTGAAGGCTAATATACATACTTGTCATTTGGTAAAGTTGGTAATTAACTTTGTTTTTAATTAATGTTGCAAGAACATTACATTTATTAGTTTCCAGTAATCATCTCACTCTTCTTCAAATCAAATGTACAAGTTTCATAAAAAGTTCTATGTTCTACTTTTAAAACTTGATGTTTTGAAATAAATTCTAGTCTAAAAAGTACAAGGTTAGCAAGGCATATTTTTGTGCTATATTCTTAAAAGAGACATGAAAATGTCATGGCTAGTTACTGACAGCCATTTATGTTTGAAAAAAATTGTATCATGTTATGCAAATCTTAACCTCTGATAAGATAGGAAGTTCCATGCATGAAAAGGTTTCTGGTATACAGTATCGGATGATATAAGTTGGTTTTAATAAAAGTGAAGGTTTTGAGCAATATCCGATTGAAATTGGAAAGTACGAATTTTTGAAGTTGTCATCAGTGAAACAAAAATTCGCAACACTGTGATGCATCTTGCAAGCTCCTCTCCAATTTGCTCCAATTCATAAACTTTCATTTGTCTTAGTTATCAATGACAAATAGAGGGTTTGTATAAAAACATATTTGCAATAATTGCTTTTAGGGTGAATGTATTATAGAAATTTCTTAATGGAAATTATTTGAAGTATTATAGTACAGGGTAAATGGGAGGGGAGCTTGCAAGATACATGACAGAGTTGCCAATTTGTGTTTGATTGATATTTTTAATCATTTTTGCTCAAACTGTCACTGATATGTTTCTCTTATTTTTCTGCTTCTATTAAAACCAACTTAATACCCGGCTGGACTTCCCATTTATTGATCTGTGACCAGCCTTTAGGCCAAAATATATTAGCTTAATTGATAGAATACTGCCTTATGTCACTACCATGTGTATATGTACCGGTACTCCATATAAAACTGATTGGTCACAACATTTTAACATTCAACAACTGAAAACCTATCAATTACAAGTAACAACATGAGAAAAAGAGATAAGCCATAGGTTTTATATTTATAATGTTGTGTTTTATTAGTTCATTCCTGCACAAAGGGGCTTCTATCCCTGTGTATGTGGGTAAATACAAACAACAGAATATGTCACCCTGTACAATGTAGTTTCACATATTTTTGGATAACATGTACATTAATAATTATAATTGTTGCAACTGTAATGGTTAACTATCTTTCTATCATCCCAAATCACATATCTGCTTCAAGATTTACTTCTGGTATTTATTCACTTTGTTGGTCTCATGGCCTGTTAGTCTTGGTTTACATAATGTTGCAGTTTAACTCCAGTAGCACCAGAAAAGTAAGAAATGGGACTGGAAATATATATCTGCAAAAATCAGACTAAAGGGCAAGAAATCCAATGTTTAGTTCTCATAGGAAGGAAAGTGGAAAGGAAAATAATAAATCTGGTCATTAATGCTTTACTTATATCAACAGATAATTGTACCCAGCATTTTGAAGTTCCATCCATGACTTCCAATGCATTTTAGTGTAAATAACCAAAAAGAACTCTAAATCAAAACGACCACATAACTTGTCTAAAATGAAGTTCACCATACTGAAATCTCACGGAGTGTAACAAGTCTGATGGCTTTACACTAAACAGTAGCAAAAGGGGAGACTAAAACTGGATAGCAGGTTAGAATTTGTATTATCATGTTATTCATCCATTGCTATTTCTTTAAACATCTAGGCTGAATAGATACACTCAATTAATGTATGAGTATGTGTTCTGTTATCATCATGATAATACATTGTAGATGTTATAGAATTATTGCCCTCAATCAGGTGGGAAAATAACATATGAGAAAATATCACAAAAGGATTGCATAAAGCAATAGCTTCAAAAGCATCCATGTAATACTTTACAATTAATTACAGACTCTTTATAGTTCACATATAGTTTTTCCAACAAAATGATCTCTTAAAAAGATCTGTCATCATCAACAATTAAGTTGTATGTTTATAGTCAAGTTGAGAGGAGTTATAGGTATGTGTATCTTCTTTCATTCTTCCTAGAGCTGTCTTCTCATATATTTATCTTTGCTGCTTGTCTACTTGCCTTTCCTCCAACTCTGCTGCCCTTCTGATTTATACCATTGTAATACCAACGAGATCAGTACTAGACTGATAACAGACCAACACAAAATACTACATTACTCTGAAGGGGTAGAATGTTGTCAGTTATCGGTCAGTTTTAAGTTGGTGTGCCAGTGTGACTAGGGTAGAAGAATAGATAAATGTCTTTTTTCAATTGCTAATGATACATAGAGCTTGGAATAGAATCTCTATTCCAGTCTACGTTTGAAGTTATAGTGATACATGTATCTTCATTTTTGTTTTTTTGAGGTCATTTACTGAAAAACATACCATGAACATACACAAGTATTTGAAAACAGACTTATGGCTTCATATAAAGTGATGTCAAAAGAAAACGTTTATGTATGAGAAAATACAACTTCATGATTTTCTAACTCTTACATGTAAAATCGCTACATTTACATATCTCTCAGCAATGTTTATCTTAGAATGGCAAAAGAAATTATATAAATATATAACATTGTGTACACCTAGCAAATTCAGTCTTGTAATCTAATGGAAAACAAGATGAAGGTATAAATATTTGATGGAAAGTTATGATAATTTGAAGCAATCCAAGGTTCTACTGTCTATTTTCAGAAGGAATTGCATGATAAAACAATCAATGACCAATTGTCATGTGCCACATATTCATCTCACAATATTCTTAAGCTTAGTAAGGATATTGGAGAGCTTTCTTGAAGGAGGTACAATAATTAATTCATCCTGTAGTATATAGCATCATGAATCATTATGTTTATAGACATCTCTTATGATTATATCAGATATAAAGAGCATATTGAAGCAACAAAGTCTATACAATTTTTTTTCCACAAAAATCTATCACTTTCCAAGGGTTAAAAGAGATGTTAGTACATTTCTAATGATCATGGGGGGGGGGGGGGGTCATAATAGCCCTTTCTGAATCAATGATAGTGTATACAGGTCACTGTGCATTAGCATACAAACTTGCATTTCAATGAAAAGAAGCAACCTTTCATTTCTTATGTTTCAGAAACCAGGCTCAGCTACCAGTATGTATCTAAAGGCTTGAACATTCACCATAGCTCACCATCATCTTATCCTGTAATACATTGTATAAGGTCCGTATTATACAGCTCAGATCTGAGGCCAATCAAACACAGATATCTTCTTCTTGAATCTAATGAAGCTGAGAACAAGTTTTCTTTGTTTATCCTGAGCATGGCCATCCACTCTGGCAGATTCATGATGACCAAAGCCAATTAAAACAACTGGTTAATTACAACCACATAAGCTGCAAATAAAGCATGAAAGCTTGAATAAAGAACTGTCCAATCACTTGATATTACCACAGTAGCAGCATAACAGCTCATTTGCATACATTTATCTGACCAGCAGCATCACGCTATTGCTCCACAAACCAAGATCCGTGATTAAGTTTGCCCTAGAAAAAAAATGGAACAAAGAAAGAATCATATTCATTAATACAAGGAATAGAAGTCGCAGAAATACATGTAGATGTAGTAATTCTTCCAGTGTTGACATTAATGATATTTTTGTTCACCACAAATGAGAGTGTTGTCAGTGACTACATCACAATCCACTGACCAAATTGCTAACGTGAGTTTCGGACAGATTTAGGGATTTCATTTTTCAAACATTCATAACTTTCTTATTATGGGTCTGGTTTATTTGAAATGAATGCCAGTCCTTTTCTGTTAATATTGTTTTGAATTTGTATACAAATGATCTCCTCACAAAGGTTGTATTGACCTATTAATACGGGTATATACATGTATTAACCCAAGTTAATGACTCTTTACTCTTTTCTACATGTCCTTGAAGAGGCATTCATGTTAACTCACGTTGAGCTAGCGCTATAAAATCAACTTGACTTAGTGTCAAGACTAGCTAATGGTAAAGGATCTGTTTAAGTTGAAGGGCCATCCTGGCATCATTGAATAATGGAAAGAAATTAAGACAAGTACATCATTAAAGCTTTTTTTTTTTTTAATTGATGCCACTGTATTTCTTGTATGCCTCCGCCCATTTGTATGTTCAATGATAATTGATCCTGTTAACTTTAACATCTGACCTCATGAACCCAAAGCGTAACACTGTTAATCCAAAGTACCTACTGGCATACTGCCAGGGGATACAATTATCTTGTGACCTTTAACATCTGACCTCATGAACCCAAACTCTTTTCATTTGATATGTTAATGTTCAAAGATACTTGAGCTCAGTTTGGTCGAAGTTGGTTTACATTTGGTTAAATTGTCACAGTAATAAGATATCTTTCTGGGATTTTTAACACTATCATGACCCCGTGATCTTTCATCTTTGACCTCTTCCGTGTATCAGTTCATCCTTCCATGTCCATACATGATTCCTCCAAGTTTGGTTTGAATAACCTTAATGCTATTCAAGTTATCACAGTAATGAGATATTTTCTGGAAATTTTAAATAATTTTTATGAACCTGTCAATTTGAGCTCATTTCATTTCTGGTATTTAAAAAAAAAAACTTTGATGACCCTGTAGCCTTTAACCTCTTGGGCCTAATATCTAATCAGCTCATCATTGCATGCTCATACATATTTGATCTAAGTTTGGTTAAAGTTTCTTTAATGGTTCTTGAGTTATCGCAGTAATGAAAAGTGGGATGGACAGACAACCCGAAAACATGATGCCGCCAGCACCACCTTCAGTGATTCAAGTGACCACCCTCTTGACATAGCGTGATAAGGGCATTGCACAAGGATTTGGATTTTATAGGAAAATTTGTAGTAACAGAAATTTGGTTTCCAAAACATTCATTGTTTAGCCCCTGTGTCTGTATCATTACCTGCTGCTGTCATCTAGTGACTGTTCTCCATCTCACAAGATGTATACTATGGTCTGGCATACTGGTAGCAAAGACTAGACCTTCTTCCTGTTGTGGCATCAACCCATATAACCAGCTATCACAACCTAGCACACAATATAACAAAAATAATGATGAGCATGGTGCATTGTTATATTATGAATATTTGCTGCTACACAGTGATATCAAACTGCTCTTGCTCTACAAAATACAGTACTGTGCAAGGTTAAACCAGTGTTATTGGAGTAATTTTCAATGATTGGTGTTTGTTGCTTATATTTTAAGAGTTAAATAGTAAGTAATGCAGTCCACATCTACTTTTAAACGATGATTGAGTGTTTACTACAGTATATTGCTCATTTCAATTGATTGGTATAAATGAGGTGAAGAAGTAAGCCATCGTTAACATACAAAATATATTGGAATGTTTTCTTTTGCTTCTCATACTTAAAAAAGATTTTGAATACATATGAATGAATAATCTATCTAAATTCAGTTGTCATTTAATCATGAAATGTAGAGTCAGAGGGACTACATTGGAAAGTGAGAGCTACATGCTTACTGTGCAGCAATTCTATTTAACATACCATCTTTGTAACATTTGAAAAATTCCTGATTTACACAAACAAACATAAGCTTGGAGTTTTAGCCTAAGACCTAAAAATTTAGAAGATACTACTACAATATGACCTCCAAAATTTCCAGGATGATTACATACATAAGCACTTTTTAAAATAATGATAATGATAATCTTGTTGCATATTTTTGTTAAACCCTGTATTTATGGTGAGACAGCAATGAGTCATTCAGAGTGTAACAATATTTTGCTCATGGGGCTTTGTTGAGTTGCAATACTTATATAATATTGACTGGCCTTGAGGGAGATACAACATATATTGCCCAAACTAGACTCATATTGCCCTGAGTCAAAGACGAGGGCAATATGGGTCTTGTGAGGGCAATATATTTGGTATCTCCCGAAAGTGAAGCCAGCCAATAATTTTATTGTTATCCAAATCAGACATCTAGAGCAAATACATAAATCAACCCTGACAATCTCAAAGAACTGAACAAACTTTGTCAAACCAGCAGTGCTTGACGAAATTTTTGATACACTGCAAACAGTGTGCCATAAATTGGTGTGATTATAACGTCACAATAGAGTGCGCGCAAAGTGCGCAGGTTTAATAGATGCGCAATGAAAATGACAAAATACGGCGCGGTCAATACAAGACTATATTTTCACTCGTCTCTACACGCAAAGTCTATACGGTCAGGGAGACCAAGGAAAATACAAAGAATATACCCCTCCGTTCCCACTGCTAGTGAAAACTACGGCAATACGGTTTTGTAAATGACCAGCTCAGATGTCTGATACAGGTAATAATACACCAGAAGCATCATCATAAACAAAATATTTATATATATGTAAATAAAAACCACCACCAACAACAAAAATTCCCAGATACGTGTTAACTTTTGTGCAGTCATTGATCAATTTCTTCCCTTCCAACATATACTCTTTCATCTTTCATTATCTGAATGCCTCAATTAATTTTTTTTTGTTTGGGGGAGGGGGGGATTGGAGTAATTTATAACAGTATTCAATTTTCTTTGTAAAGTGATCCATCCCTTTCAACATTTTTGTTTGCATGCATAACGAATTGGGTTAAATATACAGTAGGCTTGCAGATGCACCATGTGAATTGGGTTAAACGTTGTATGAGAACAAGTTCTACTTAACATGTGTGTGAATATCCAAAATGTAACAAGAACATATGAAAGTCAGACGACTGATTCATTCCTCACCTGCCACAAAATTGGATCCTCTCTTGGAGCGTCTGTAGATGGGTAACTTCCATGATGACATAACAGACTGTGTCTGGGTGTAGATAATGTGAAGATTCTGAGGATCCAGGCAGAGGGTAAAGACACGCCCCATGCTCACCAAGAAGGAGGTACCAAGCTGGTAGGTGGGGGCCAATTCTGGGGGGCTTATCAATCTAAACAAACAATATGATATAATGATTATAGCATGGCATGATTACGTGCACAATATAGGATACAATATAGAATCGTTCATGAATCATGAATGGTCACAAACAGAATTACCTCTCTTCCATGTGATAATTAAAGATGGCGTTTAATAAATGAATGGGAAATTAACCAAAAAATATGAGACATTTAAACTTCAGAGCCCCTAAAATTTGTTCCTGCCAACCAAGGAATCAGACTCTTGATTTAATAATAAAAAGCAAAGGCTCTTCAAGAGCTAGAGTGCATTCAAATCAGACATTAGCATGCACAGAAAAGAGCATGATATTGATTTAGGAAATTGTATGTACATATATATACTCCCGGTATTCAGTAATGCCTGATATCTTTAAGCCATTACCTGACTAGGTCTAGTGTAGCAAAGTCCCAAAGCATAATGCCGATATCAGAGGAACATGCCACAATCCTCCCATCAAAGTGAAGCCTTGGTAGAAGAAGCTGTCCTCTAGAGTCTTCACTGGGATAGGTAAGCATTGCAACACATTCAATTTCCCGTGACAATGAAATAGGCCACACCTGCATGATACACAAAAGCTATATGCTTCATCTACACATAATTTTTAAGGCAGCAATTCTAAAGATTTTACAGATATAGTACTGGGGCATCATTAGCCAAAACTAAGTTTATTACAAAATAAACTATCAGCACCCTGAAACATAAAAGTTATAATCTATTGTAAATATATATTGTCTCTCTAATGTTGGAGAGGAGAGATACAATTAATTGTAACTTTGTTATGTTACAAAATTAAATCATGGCTAGTTATGCATTTTTATAGTAAGCCCATTATAAGGTGACTTACACCTTACAAAGATTTAAGAAAAAGAAAGACTATAGTCAACACACCAAATGCTATGGAAAGCATATTTTAGAAGGGATCCAGTGTGTAAATAAGGGTACCAACATTTTGTTTTACTCACATATATTAGTTCTTTTATAGTTTTTTAAATTATAATTGTTGATACTTTTTCATTTCAATTTTTATGTTCAAATTATTTTGTATAAGTGTACAAAGTTCCCCTCTTTGTACATGTAGTACCTTTTCAACTAGATGTACTTTAATCAAAAAGTGATTTCCATGAGTTCCAAGAACATTTCGAAGTATTTTAAAGTTTGCTAGCTATTAATCATCACCCTTTCCATCTGTTTACCCAATAGTACACATACAACTAATTTAGTGTTATGCTTACCATTTTTAGAAGCGCATAACTGCATTGTTATCATACTCATATACATGTTTGTTAAAAAAATAATAATAATAATTTTAGGAATTGCTGGACATACACATATATGTATACCTTGATTATGGACTTATCCATGCTGAGAATGACGTGATCACCACATTGAACTTTCTCTGACTCCACACAACAGATCTGCAGTAAAACCTGTAGTAAAACAAGAGATTCAACTCATGTAATTCATCTTTCATTGTTCATTCTTAGGAAGACCTCACTAACCTGACAATACTGCAGATTCACAATCCAAATTGCAATCAGTGTTTAGTCAATTTCATGTGATGCATTATGGGAAAAAGTTGACAATACTATCAGCTGAAGCACTGTTATATACACTAGGAGATAAGGGAATTTAATTAGAATTTTGCATGGGGAAGGTTTTAATAGCTTACCCGGGATAACATTTTGTGCTGAATCCAATTATATCAGTCACATTGATCCTACTCTTGATATTTTGATCACTTTGGCCACTTTTTGGCCTGGAATGGTTTAAATTTATCTTTATGACAGAGGGCAATATGTTTCCATTGATAATGTTTCTTCACAAATGAAAAGTTTTAATGTTGGAGTGCCACAGAGTTCAGTTTTTGGACCATTGCATTTTAAAATTTAAGTTAAAGATCTACAGCACGTTAGTAATACATTACATCCAATACTGTTGGCAGATGATACAAACCTTTTTAAATCCCGTAATGATTTAAACAATTTAGTTTTTAATTAAATGTTGAATTACAAGAGAATTATGAATGGTTTCTTGCCAATAGATTGATGTTAAACATTGATAAGACATGTTGTATAATTTTTCAACCAATGAATAAAATTATTTGTCCATGTGATAAACTCACTTGGAAAAAACATGTATGTGTGAAATTAGTAAGTCTATTAGTGCATTAAACATTTAACAGAAAATCATTTCATCCAACATGCTTGTAATGTTGTATCAAACTATGATATTGCCATATGTTAACTATTGTACAGTGTTATGGGGTATGTGTATACATGTATAACCCAATCACTATGACCAGTGAGTGTTGTAATTCATACCTGTATAACCCAATCACTATTACCGGTGAGCGTTGTAATTCATACCTGTATAACCCAATCACTATGACCAGTGAGTGTTGTAATTCATACCTGTATAACCCAATCACTATTACCGGTGAGTGTTGTAATTCATACCTGTATAACCCAATCACTATGACCAGTGAGTGTTGTAATTCATACCTGTATAACCCAATCACTATGACCGGTGAGTGTTGTAATTCATACCTGTATAACCCAATCACTATGACCGGTGAGTGTTGTAATTCATACCTGTATAACCCAAGCACTATGACCAGTGAGTGTTGTAATTCATACCTGTATAACCCAATCACTATGACCAGTGAGTGTTGTAATTCATACCTGTATAACCCAATCACTATTACCGGTGAGTGTTGTAATTCATACCTGTATAACCCAATCACTATGACCAGTGAGTGTTGTAATTTGTACCTGTATAACCCAATCACTATGACCGGTGAGTGTTGTAATTCATACCTGTATAACCCAATCACTATTACCGGTGAGTGTTGTAATTCATACCTGTATAACCCAATCACTATGACCAGTGAGTGTTGTAATTCGTACCTGTATAACCCAATCACTATGACCGGTGAGTGTTGTAATTCATACCTGTATAATCCAATTTCTATGACCAATGAGTGTTGTAATTCATACCTGTATAACCCAATCACTATGACCGGTGAGCGTTGTAATTCATACCTGTATAACCCAATCACTATGACCAGTGAGCGTTGTAATTCATACCTGTATAACCCAATCACTATGACCAGTGAGCGTTGTAATTCATACCTGTATAACCCAATCACTATGACCAGTGAGCGTTGTAATTCATACCTGTATAACCCAATCACTATGACCAGTGAGCGTTGTAATTCATACCTGTATAACCCAATCACTATGACCAGTGAGTGTTGTAATTCATACCTGTATAATCCAATTTCTATGACCAATGAGTGTTGTAATTCATACCTGTATAACCCAATCACTATGACCGGTGAGTGTTGTAATTCATACCTGTATAACCCAATCACTATGACCAGTGAGTGTTGTAATATGACTTCCATCACTCAACCTCCACAGTTTGACAGTCTCATCCGCAGACCCGCTCACCAGTAAATCCAGCTTGTCACTGTAGTCTATACTAAAAACTGTTTGATACAAACACACAATATGAAAATATACAATACCAGTCTCTTTACTCATCATAATTTGAGGTATATTCTGAAAATAAAAATAAAATGTTGTTGCATCATTTCTTTAATCGTAGAGTAAGATCACTTTGTATGCAATACTATATTACTGGTATGCGCATACAGACTTTGTATAAGTATACCTGTAATAAGAAACTATCACTATTTATTCTATAAGGAGACAATTCACAATTAAAGGTAAAAGTAACTTGTGAGTAGATTAGGGGGCTTTGGAGGTAGAGTAGAGTAAGATCACTTTGTATGCAATACTATATTACTGGTATGTGCATACAGACTTTGTATAAGTATACCTGTAATAAGAAACTATCACTATTTATTCTATAAGGAGACAATTCATAATTAAAGGTAAAAGTAACTTGTGAGTAGATTAGGGGGCTTTGGAGGTAAACTCCAAAGTGCTGTGCAGGCCTTGCATTGAAATACAGTATTTGGGGGGACCCTCTGTGATAGGGTGGTTTCCTTTATAACACATGGAAAATCTATTGAAATCAGAAGAGTTCTAGAAAGGTCCTAGATATTTAATAAACACAAGCTGTTGATTTATTTCATTTCCATTTCTTATTTCTTCTGTTAGCAAGTGTAGCTAGCCAAGAGGGGGAGAGGATGGGTGTCACACCCCTGTCCAATCATTCCATGGTGAGTGCCACTTCCCTCAAGACCAAGGAGGGTAATACAGGCTCACAAAAGAGTAAGGTGTCAGGTTAACATTTGCCAGTTTGATTAGAGAATAATGTCTCTCTAGTAAACCTTCCTATATTACAGGAGATTAACGATTCAAAAAGAGATTTACCTGCCCCTGAATGTCCTGAAAACTGCTGCAATCTCTCCCCACTATCAAGATCCCAGCATGCAATCGTATTATCAAAAGATGCAGTTATGACCTTGATATCATCAAATTTGATGTCAGCTACAGTATGTGTCTGAAGAACCTTCAAGCATTTTCCACTGGCGACATCCCATAAACGAACAGTTAGATCATCTGAGCCTAATTAATAAAATACAAATTAAAAAGGAAAAACATGAACATTACTGTTACAAAGGAACAACAAAAACTACTCAAAGAAAATAGGGAAAGAGTCTTTATTCATAGGTTGGTGGTGGTGGTGTTGGTTATTTTACCTGACTGCTAAGAAAGCATAAATGCTTGTTAGTAAGCAACCAGAAGACCGACGGCTTAAGGTCCTCTCCGAGGGACCTGGTAATAAGGATTAATGCCTTACCAAAGGGCACTAGCGCATTGACTTGGTTTTGAACCCGGGTCACCGGAGTATGAGACCACTGCTCTACCAACTGAGCTATCGCGCCTCCCGTTGTCTATATGTAGTTCCCTTGAGCTTATATACTGTACACTATAGGCGATTTTATTGTTGTACATTCTTGGCATAAAATTGCATTGCAAAAGTAGCGATGGAAAATTACAGATTACTTCTTAAATAAGTGCTAAGACAGAGATATTCGTTTAAAGGTAATACAAAGTTTTGGAAGATTTTAAAATTGGCTGGATAGTGATTCTTTGAAACTTTGATATTTTTGGATGCTCCTATGAATGTATTATAAGTACTAGGAAATTGAGCCCCTAAAACACTTCTGCTTTCAAGAAAAATTGAATATAAAATTTTCCGGTGCTCCCGGTAAATTTCGATAAATTTCAAATAGCGCTTACGGCCAAACAATGGTAGTTGCGGCCATGAAAATCTCAGAATATGTAGTAGTGATATAAAATTTCCAAATGGGAATAGCCAATCGGTCGGTTTAAGTCAAGAAACATTGTTTTATGGCTTAATTAATATTTTGACCTTGAGAGGGAGCTATATATCATAAAGAGCTTATTATTTGCAATTGCATAACTTTAGACTTGAATTCAACCGCGACAACGATCACTAAATACTGTAGGCTCGCACATGCTTACAATATGTTCATTTAAACCAAATTCATGACCCCATACCAAAACTTTGTATTACCTTTAAAGCTACAGTCACAAAGGTTTGTACGAACAATGTGTTTGTACGAATTTCCCTGTTTTTCCATTGTCTTCCCGAATTTCCAATGTCTGAAAATCGTTTGTACAGCGTTCGTAGCAGTTCGTAATGGCATTTGTGACCGAGGCTTGAGATATTTTTATTTTTGCCTGAAAATAGCAAACCATGTACAGTTAGAGATAAGGTCACAAAAAGAAGAAAACAAAAGATAATCCTGATTATCTGCTAGAAATATTATTTTAAGGCATTATTTTGCTCATACTATTTAGTTCAATATGTGACAAAATATTTTCATGGAACTTATTTTTAAACCCATTTGCACAGATTCTCGCACATACAGGTATACATGCTTCACAGGCTACAGTCACAAGAGAATTTACAAACCTAGCCAGGGATGTAAATAAACTCTCGTTTGTACATATATTCAATCAACTTGAGAGAGAGACAATAAAACAACCTAACTTCACAGCAGCTTAGAATTATCAATATCTTGCTTTATATATTCAAAAATATTACAAAAATATTACATGCTCCGGCATTTAATGTCATGAAATATATGAACAGACAACTTAAGAATTTCTGAGCCTTAATATATTTCATTGAGAGATAAAATGGCAAAAGGGGAATTCTGCTTTTGGAGGTGAATATATCTTGTATTAAACAACAAAATACAATATTTGTTAATTATAAAATTCAGGGTATTTGCAATTTCTTTGAAGTAAGGCCCTCTTGGGCTGCCTTTGCATCAGACGTGCAAAGCTAAGACATTGCAAACAATGGATAAACACAGGAAAGAGAGACCAGTCTGATTCAGCTTTGTACACATTTTACTGGGCAAAAAAGCTGTTGAAATACTGCGCGATCGTGTACATAACAAATGATTGGGTGTTATGCGACACTTTTCAGCCAATAGGACGCTCGCTATTAACAAATAACCTATTTTGTGTGTCAAACAACATGGCATATGCAGTACACCAGTGAGTCTGTTCCATGCTTCTATCTCTAGTATTTCGAAAGGCTTCGGATTCTTTAGAAAAACTCATTTAGGATATTACCGTAGTAAACCAGTATCAAGATTTATGCAGTCTATGCTGATTATTCTTATTTCGGGAGACGTACAACTTAATCCAGGGCCGAAGACAAGACTCCCATGTGGTATTTGTAGGAAGAATGTAAATAAGAACCAAAAAGCTATGGAATGTGAGACATGCTTGAAGTGGTATCACAATAAATGTACAGGAATGAAGGATGCTTTGTATCACATCCACATGGAGCATGAATCATTCGTATGGATTTGTTCTAAGTGCGGCCTGCCAAACCTATCAAACTCTACACTCTCGTTAGACCATGTGAACACCTCAAATTCCTTTGACGCTCTTATCAACCTTGATTTTGAATCATCGAAGGAATTTGTAACTAGCCTAGTATCAAATAGTCATCGTATTGGAAATCCAAAGCATACTTCCAGCCCTAAGAAAAGCAACAGCTCTGGTAAAAATAAAAGAAGTGAAAGAAAGCCAAAAGCTATGCAGAGAAAATTGAAACTCATGAATGTTGATTTCCAGAGTGTTCGAAATAAAATCCCCTTATTTCAAGCTCTTGTTGAAAAGGAGAAACCAGATGTTATTTTTGGTACTGAAACCTGATTAGATGAAACTGTATTCAGTAATGAAATCCTACCCCCAACCTACCAACTTTTTAGGAAAGATAGGAAAACAAATACCACTGGTGGTGGTGTTCTTCTAGCTATTAGAGATGACTTGATTAGTAAAGAAGAACCAAATCTCTGCTCCCAGTCTTGTGAAACGCTATGGGCAAGTATCCACATGAAAGGTAGTCAAGCTACATATTTTGGAATTATTTACAGACCTGATAGCGGTAACACAAAGAAAGACCAGCAATGTATGGAGGAACTCTCACAGATCCTTCACAAAATCCCCCCTAACAGTCACATTTGGGTTTCAGGGGATTTTAATCTTCCAGATGTAGATTGGGCAAAATACTGCCTCGTACCGGGAGGCAGGTATCCGGCAGTTAGTAAGCAAATGCTAGAATTAGCAACAGAACAAAATCTCGGACAAATGGTAAATGAACCAACAAGGAATGGAAATATTCTCGACTTAGTATTTACGAACACATCAACTTTTGTTCAGAATATAGATATTTTGCCAGGACTCACTGATCATGATATTGTTTTGATTGATGCACTACTAACTTCACAAAGGGTTAAAGCCCCACGTAGGAAAGTCTACTTCTATAAAAAGGGAAACTTTGAACAGATCAACAAGGATATTCAGGACTTTGCAAATTCCCTTAATGGTGATATCATTGCACGCACTAGTGTAGAAGACATATGGGATAACTTCAAGAATGTTCTTCTCTCCTCAATCAAAGAAAACATTCCGAATAAATTATCTAAAAGCAGCACTCAGTTACCATGGTTAAAGGGGTCTCATGTAAAAATGATTGGTCTGAAACAACGGATGTATAATAAAGCTAAAAAGACGAATCACCAACAAGACTGGAATGAATATAAATCATTTCGTCGGGCAACAGATTGTAGTATCCGTAAAGCTCGGTCAACTTTCCTGTACAACGTCGGGGAGAGTCTGGAATCTGGTGATACCAAACCCTTTTGGCGTTTCATCAAGAATTCTAGAAAAACTTTTCAGGGGTGGCACCCTTAAACACAAGGGACGGGATAGCAACATCTGCAAGTGAAAAAGCAAATGCATTAAATGATCGATTTGAATCCATCTTCACAAGAGAGGATCGTGAAAACATACCAACTGTACTACCAGGATCTACATGTAAAGCCATGCAGTATTAATGTGACTGTTCAGGGTGTAGAGAAACTTCTGCGAGGACTTCATACACGGAAGGCGTCTGGTCCAGATGGGTTAACACCAACAATTCTTAAAGAATGTTCCAGTAGCATTGCACCTATCTTAACCATTATTTACCAGAAATCAATATCTACTGATGAACTTCCAAGAGACTAGTTACGAGCAAATGTCACTCCCCTGTACAAGAAAGATAATCGTTCGGAACCAGCTAACTACCGTCCTGTATCGTTGACCTCGATCCCATGCAAGATTCTGGAACATATTATTTATCATAGCGTAATGTCTCACCTTGAGGAAATCGGTTACCTGAACGACAAACAGCATGGCTTCCGTAGGGGTCACTAATGTGAGACCCAGCTAGCCTTGACCGTCAATGATCTTGCCAAGATGTTAGAGGACAAAGGCCAAGTCGACAACATTATCATGGACTTTTGCAAGGCGTTCGATATGGTCCCACATGAGAGACTCCTCCTAAAACTTCATCATGCTGGAATCCAAGGATCTTTGCACATATGGATTAAAAACTTCCTTACAAAAAGATCTCAACAAGTTGTTCTTGATGGTGCCTCCTCATCTTCCATACACGTCACGGCAGGAGTACCTCAGGGCACTGTATTAGCCTCTTTGCTGTTTTTCATGTACATAAACGACATATCTGACGGAATAACGTCAGAAATCCAACTTTTTGCCGACGATTGCATCATGTATAGGCAGATAAAGAGCAACCAAGATAGTCTGGATCTACAGAGAGACATCAATCGCCTGGTTGCTTGGGAACAACGCTGGCAAATGAAATTCAACAAAACAAAATGTTATACAATGTATGTTATTCACAAAAAGAAGATAGTCGAAACACAGTATCGAATGGGGGATTCCGTTTTGGAAGTTGCACTCAAGCACACATATTTGGGGGGAGAACTTGACAGTAAACTCAGCTGGGCAAATCACATCCAAAATGTTACATCAAGGGCAAATCGGATGCTTGGATTACTTCGGAGAAACCTCTTTAGCTGCTCTCCCAAAGTAAAAGCAGTTTCCAATAAAACTCTCGTCAGGCCACGACTTTAGTACTGTGCCTCAGTTTGGGACCCTTATCAGAAGGAATACATAAAACAACTCGAAGGAGTTCAACGACGTGCTGCAAGATTCGTCTTGAACCGTCATGAACGCCGGAGCAGCGTCACTGAGATGATCTCCTATCTGAAATGGCAACCATTGGAGCACAGAAGAGCAGCCTAGAGGTTGACTGTCCTCTATAAATCCATCCACAACTTAATTGCCGTTGATACTGACCACTACCAAAACAGGTCATCTGGAGTAGGGGTATCTACAAGAATATGGTCTTCAGTATCATTCAAGAAGTTATCCGCTGTAAAGGACTGTTATAAACACTCTCTATATCCCAGGACATTCCCCGAATGGAACTTTCTCCCTACCCATGCAAGAAATATCCCCACCCTTGGAGCCTTTAAAGATACCTTACAAAGCTCAACATGAGCAAAATAATTGCTAGAGCCCACTTCAGAAATTAAGTATAGGATACTATGCTCAGTCGACTGCGCCTGATTGTTACATCCCAGCTGAGGAGTTTATGCAGTAGCCCACCAGAACCAGAACCAGAACAAATTAACAGCAGCTTTGAACTACTAATCAACTCTACTGTTAAATCTGTCATAATGATGTGCCCCCCCCCCTTTTTTTTTTAATGGGCTTCAATTAATGAAGATCCAGACATCATAATATCAAATTAATGTTTAATATACCTGAAGCTACTTTTCCATCTCTGTAGTGCAGGGAGTAGACACGTGCTGTGTGTCCATGTAGAGTAGTGCTATCAAACGCAGAGCCATCTCTCAACTGTTTGAGCCTCCACAGAGCCTTTTGGTAGACAGTCTTCCAGTGAAGTCCATTCTTTGCTCTGTTACCATGGAGACTTTCATCTGCATCCTCTGGAACTTGGATTCCCAGAACCCTGTCACAAAAACAAATTCACTCCATTGCAAATCAACATAATCTCTTATGATTTTTCCCCTTTGTCTTTTAGAACACTTTCTCTATTAGAATCTTCATTTCTAAATTGGCATTTTCACTGGGTACATGTACTAAAATAGTACTAATGTATCTCATGTAATGCTAATGGGAAGTTTGTTTTGGCTACCGGTACATTATTTTGTTATTCTTTTGTTTTTTGAAACTTTCATCAATTCTTCTGGTATTATTTTTCTTGTCATAATTGAAAAGTGGGAGGAATGTGTAATATCACACACTGAATAAGTTCAAATAATCAAGTTGGACAGCAATTACCATTAAAAATATAAATAAACAAATTTCTTTATACAATGTTTTCTAGTCTGTACGCTCATATTGCTACATGAGGAATCTTTATACACTGTACAACACAAGTTTTGTATAAACTTCCTACAGTCTGAAGAGGCTATGAGTGTTCTTGAGTACCATCCATTGATTAGTCAGTTTTAGTAAATAAAACTGAAACTGAAACTGAATAAGCATTGTTACTATAAAATGGCACAAGTTTGCATCAATGAAAATACATGTATATTGGTAATATTTTGGTAAATGAGGTAAATTTTACACTTTAAAACCACTTTAATGTTCAGATTTTGCAGCATAATTTACCTCAATTGACCTTTGACCTCTGACTTAGGACTTAATATGAATTACGTAATATCTTTAAAACTCAAATAAATCTTTTTATTACACAAGTTTCAGGAAATTTGGACAAACAAATGATAGTTAATTTTATGAACTTTGACCCAATGTCCTTGAATGTCAATCCGACTTTCACCTGAAGGCTTAATGTACATGTACATTGTAACCTCAATAATTATTTAGTACTAGATAAGACTTGCGTCCAAGCACACAACCAAATATCCATGCAAATAAAATGTATTCATCAGGAAGGGTTACCCGAAAGCCAACTGTGGAAAAATGGAGAAAATTTTCCCTATTAGTTTGAAAATAAGGTATTTAACAGCAGATACAATGCTGTAGCAATGCATACCAGTGATACAAACTAGATCTGTTTTTATACAAGGGAAGATACCATTCTAATTTTCAACAACAAAATGTTACACAGCAGACTTATGTAACATAACCAATACCTAATTATCAAATTCCAAATTAAATGCTGTTTTTCAAATTAAGGTGTAATTTTCTTTTCTTGGATGTGAGCCCTTTACCTGCAAGCTTGCTGCCATGCCTCTGTGCATTCTGTAACCATTTTGTTCCATTGATGGCTAACCTGGCAACATCTTCCAAGGGTAATTGGATCAAGCCAGGACAATAAATAGTTTGCGAGTTCCTTGGGCAGTAGTCGCAAGAAGTCTCTTTTCAGGAGTCCCTCAAGTCTGGTGGACAAATGGCGGAGCTGCACATCCCCTGAGGATGCAATGAGACAGTCCAGTGCAGTGCAACGCTGATCATTGCTAAGGTCTTGTAGAAAGGTTTTCTCCAAGTGACACAACCAGTCTTTGAACTCAGGACCATCCATGTTCTTCACTGCTTTTCTTGTCTTTTGAATTCCAAACAAGCCATTCTCTATATAGATGTACAAGTTCCACACATTCTTGTACATGAGTTGTCAGTCATTGACCATAATTATTCCTCCTTCTAATGTGTGACTTTGCTGTTAAAGAATATATCAACATGATAAAGATTAGGCCAAAACATATCAAATATAATTCTGAAGTAATATACCTTCATCTTGTTTTCCATTTAGATTACAAGACTGAATTTGCTAGATGTACACAATGTCGTATTTTTATATAATTTCTTTTGCCAATTTAAGATAAGGGCAATTCCATGCCAAAGTGGACATGACACCTTAAATTTCAAAGTCATCACTTTAACACGGTTTTGGTTTCAAATGAAAGCATAAAGTCAATAAATTTTTCAGAATAAATTACTTAATGAGAGAGTTGTGGTCTAAGGGCGCGTTCATGCTTGATTTTGACGGCCAGAATCAGGCATCTGTTACGCGTTTAGTTTAAAACACGACTGCGTTCATGCTCACTTTTGTAGAATCACCGAAAAACGGCGATCACGATCGCCGATCGTAAACTCACAAAAAGATGCGTTTACAATTTGTAAACGCGTTTAAATGGGGTCAACGCACTGACCTCTAGTGGGTCTACGTAGCATGCGCACACAGGTTTGCGAATCCAGCTGAAGGCCACACCAAGGAAAATTGCCTGGAGAAGTGAGCATGAACAGTGCACCGTGGAACTGCGTTTACGATAAGCGTTTACGATGAGCGTTACAAATCGCTCATTCTACCTTCAAAATCAAGCATGAACACGCCCTTAATTACGATTGTTTAATTAGGGTCTACCCTAATTAAGCCTTCAAAAGTAAAAAATTATCACACAAAAGTGTTAATGTCCTACACATAACACTAACATGCACATGTCATCACAATCATCCCTAACTTCCCAGAGTTAAATCATCCAATGTTTTTAACCTACAAGATACAAAATTAAAAATTTCATGCTGAATATGCACGAGGTTGTGAAGGGCCAAGGGACCTCTGAGTCGTGCATATTCAGCATATGCATCTATCCTAAATACAGAGCTACAGTACCAAGGCAAGTGTCACGCATTATGCGTGACATCACTATTTCGACTCTTTCGAGGGTCACTCTGAAAATGCTCTGAGACTCAGTCTCACGCATGACGCAGATTTCGGGCAGCGCACCTAGTCATGAAAATGTCACGCATGGCTGATCTTTAAACTTGGCCTCTCTGTAAATAACACCGAGGCCGAGTGAGGGGGGGGGGGGGGGGGGGGGGGGGGGGGGCCAGACGGCCAGCCAAAGCTGATGAACGTCGGGCGCGAGCCCGGGGCTCAGCTACGTGCATGTATGCCGTGTGTCCTGAGTATAAGAGTAATCTGGTTCTGGTTCTACTAGTCTACATCACAATTCACTAATAATATTCTAGTTTCATCAGGTCATTGTGCTTACCTGCTTGTTTAGCTAGTTAGTAGGCCTAGAACATGAAGTGTATCTCAGCTGACGATTAGTTGGTTATAGGAAAATTTGAGTAGTATCCCAGGCATACACATACCGGTGCTAAACCGCTCTTTAAAACTAGCGACCATTAAGCCCGCGACCACTAAGGAGAAGGCTAGCCACCAAAAATGGGAACTTCAGTGTCTCCAAATCGTACAATTTGAAAGGAAAGGAAAAATGTGCACGTCGCGACTGACGATAAATAAACGGCCATGCACAACAAGTAGAAAAGATTTGGATGTTTAAACAAAAATGATCTTATAGTTATAGAATTTAACCAATGTTGGCCAACACCAATTTAAAACTGAGATCTTAATTTTTCCTTTCATATATAGGTCACATGCCGACATTTTTTTGTCTTAATATAGATCTAGGCCTTTAACATTTTGAAACTGTTAAAACTCGGCCAAAATCTCTAAAAACTTAAGTATTTAGTATTTTGTTTAGTTCTATCTCAATTTATTTTTTTAAGAATGAAAAAATTATGTAGGGTATACATCTATTCGTTTGCCTAACTTAACTCCGTATAGAATTGCGTGTTCTTTAACGGGTATCATAATCTCAACTTTAAATTAAAATTAAACGTTTTCAACGCTTGAAATGTACCAGTTTATAAGTATTTGTTCTGCTATAATATGACACGTTTTATTCTCACGTTTGAGACTCTATACTAGTTTTTACAAGATTTGATCTCATTTTTTCTTTTTTATCGCCCATGTTACACATTCATTTTCCTTTTTGTTTTAAAGATACCATTAGCGCCAAATCTATTGTTTTCCGGGCTAACTTCGCCCGAATCCATAGTGGTCGCGGCTATTGGTCGCCAAAAGTAATTTTCTCGAGATTGTAAATCTGATCAATCCAATCATTATGTCACTCATAAAATGTTACAACCCGACGTGCAGTCTTTCATTAGGTCAAGTATAGTTTTGATCGTTTGTTTGTTCTTTTGTTTATTTTTAGTTAGTGTACTGTTTGTTTTTGTTTGTCTTATTACATTGTATTCCATTATGTTTTTGTTTGTCCAATATGGACGATTTATTTATGCCGTATTTTGTTAGTCTTAACAATCCAATCACATCAATTAGTCTACATGTAAAAAAAATGGAACTTATAATTTATTATTTAGTTAAGACAATAATGTAGTTTTTTTTTTCTTTTCGTATTTGTATTTATATTGTTCATGTTTTATTCTCCACTTTTCATGTATGCTTGCCATATTGTAGAATATAGGCTATAGGTGATCATTCCTATCTACTTTATATTGTTGTTTTGTTAATCTGTATTCTTTGTATTATTAAGCTATGTTTGTATTCTTTATTATGTATTATATTATCATGACATATGTACATGTCTACATGAGTTGTACTTTCGATACCCCAGAAGCAGTGGCGGATCCAGGGGGGGCCGAAACGGCCGCCCCCCCCCCTATTGGCGGCGCAAAAAAAAAGAAAAAAAGAGGAAGAAAAGAAGAGAAAAAAAAGGAAAGGAGAAGAGAAGAAAAAAAGGAGAAGAGAAAAGAAAGGAGAAGAGAAAAGAAAAGAGAAGAGAAAAGAAAAGAAAGAAGAGAAAAGAAACAGAGAGAGAGAGAAAAAAAAGAAGGAGAAATGATAACGAAGAAAGTCCCCCCCCCCCCCCCCCCCCCCCAATTTGTGTTTCCAAAATCTCCAAAAAAGGTTACTGTTCACGCAACGAAGTCCGGCCCGTACTGACTTTACACACCAGAGATAGAGGGGTGCTTTCAAAGAGAGGGAACATAATTGCGCGTACCCTAGATGAGTGGGGGGGGGGGGGTGGGGGAATGGCGCTTAGTGACAGTAACAACGAATAAGGGAAAAACTGTAATCGGAAGATTTGGGGTCATTCCAGTAGGCTTGGCAAACGTCATTGAATAGAGGGGGCCGGGCCGGCCGCATAAAATCTCGAGCCGCGGATTCAAAGTTAAACGTTAAAAACAGCCCCTGCGCTACAAAGGTCACCACTCTTTAGTGAGAAATTTAAAAAGGGCACACTATTTTGGATGTCTTTTAAATAGAAGCTATATACTCAACAGTCAAATTTTAAATTAGCGGTAGGGCCGCTTCACAACTCTTATTTTGCCCTTCATTTGGATTCAGCTCATACCAACTCGCTTGTGCTTGTATTTGAACTCATGTTGGTAAAACCATGGATTTATCCATGGTTTGTGTAATAAATCTTTCATTTCTACTAGTCTAATTGTGTGCTATCACAATCATGATTGTTTCATTTTCCCTGTAAAGCAGGCGCGTAGCCAGGGGCGGTAGGGGCAGTGAGAGGACATCAGACGAAAAAGGAGCAGACAAGGAAATATTTTTGAAATTCTGACGAGTCGAGAACGGTACAACGAATCGTCTTCTTTCTCTAATAATTTAATGAAATGTCAAAGCTTCCGCGCTACGCGCGAGCGGGGAAAAACTAAATTCAAACAACGATATAGAGTCGAGAATGGAACAACGAATTATCTTCTTTCTCTAATAATGTAATGAAATGTCAAATCTTCCGCGCTTCGCGCAGGAGGGGGGAAACTGTATTAAAACAAGATTTTAGAGTCGAGAATGGAACAACGAATTATCCTTTTCTCTAATAATTTAAGGAAACGTCAAAGCTTCCGCGCTTCGCGTGGGAGAGAGGGGAAACTGAATTCAAACAAGGATTAAGAGACGAGGATGGTACAACGAATCGTCTTCTTTCTCTAATAATTTAATGAAGCGTCAAAGCTTACGCGCTTCGCGCGGGAAGGGGGGGGGGGACTCAATTCAGACAAGTACTCAGAGTCGAGAACGGTACAACGAATCGTCTTCTTTCTCTATAAATAATTTAATGAAACGTCAAAGCTTCCGCGCTTCGCGCGGGAGGGGTAAACTAAATCCAAATAAGGATCAAGAGTCGAGAATAGTACAACAAATCGTCTTCTTTCTATAATAATTTAATAAAACGTTAAGCTTCTGCGCTTTACGTTCAGAGAAAGATTAAGAATCGAGAATGGAACAACCAATCTTCTAATTCTTTCTCTTATAATTTCATTAAACTATGAAAGGTCAAAGTTTCCGCGCTTCGCGCGGAGGGGGATGACGAACTAAATTCAAACAAGGATTTAGAGTCGAAAATGAAATAACGAATCTTCTTCTTTCTCTAATAATTAATGAAAGGTCATAGCTTCCGCGCTTTGCGCGAGAGGGGGGACGAACTAAATTCAAACAAGGAGTTAGAGTCGAGAATGGAACAACGAATCTTCTAATTCTTTCTCTAATAATTTTATTAAACTATGAAAGGTCAAAGGTTCCGCGCTTCGCGCGAGAGGGGGGGGGACGAAATAAATTCAAACAATGATTTAGAGTCGAGAAAGGTTCACCGAATCCTCTCCTCTAATAATTTCATGAAACATCACAGCTTCTGCGCTTCGCGCGTAATGGGGGGGGGGGGGGCAGCGAGCTGCCCAAATATGAATTTTTGATATCTTTTCTCGTTTATTTTCGTGATAAATAACACTTTCGTAATATACATGTACATATTATGCTCAAATTTGTGCTCGATCGCTTCGCTCACTAGCCGAATTGTAAAACCAGAAAATTACTTTTTCGGGCAAGAGGTTATAGCCCCCCCCCCCCCCCCCCCCCAATTGAAATGACAAAAATTGTACCGGTATGGTGCTTCTAATATGACCTTGTAAGTATTGACATGTTGAGTTTTAAAAAAAGGTCTGCGCAATTTTCAAATTTCCGGCCCCCCCCCCCCCCTATTGGAAAATCCTGGATCCGCGCCTGCAGAAGGAGGTCGAATGAGTCAATAAGTTCTATTCTATTCTACCTATATTGCCCCCGCTCGCGATATTTTTCGCCCCTTATTGGCTTTACCATCTTTGATCAGTGCCCCTTCATCACCTCTTATCATTGCCTCTTAATTTTCAGAACATTCTTATACGCGCCTGTCCGATGAGTGCCCATTAACATTTGAGAGGTGCCTCCTTTGCATGTATGACTCTGTAATTTATATTAATTAAGCACCCCCTTTTCATCTCTGATATGTAGAGCCACTTTCATTTCGACACGTGCCCAAGCCCAAGGGGTACTTTTCACGTATCAAAGTCCGGCTCGTACGTACATACACAAAATTGCGTACCCTAAATAATACTGAGTGGATGGGGGCCGGGTCAAAAGGAGGGAACATGCATATGGGTACCTGGGGGCGGGCATGTGCCCTAGCTTATCATTTCTAATAATAGTGTTATTTTCCTTCGATCTGTTAATTGCCCATTTTTCGATATCTTTGGAAATTTGCCCCCCCCCCCCCCCTTTCCTTTCCCAATTAAATGTGCTCCTGATTTAAAGCGACTAAGAACAACATTTTCTTTATTTTCACCCAAAGCTTTATATAATCAAAGATTTTTGCAGTCGCCAATGTCTAAAAATATTAAATTTCCGAATTGAACTTTCCCTTTGTAAATGCCCCTTTCTTCCAGAAGGTGCCCTTTTTTGTTGTTCCCCCCCCCCCCCCCAAATTTGAAAAACGCTAGACCGCCCCTGCTGTGATATGCATATAATGGAGTACAAAGATAAATCGCACAGTCATCAGTCCCATGCATGGCGGTTGAATCTCCTCTACTTCCTTCAAAATATTAAATGTGAATCAGATAAATTTTGAGTACCGGTAGGCTATCTAGAAAAGATCAATGAATGCTTCCTTAAATCATATAAACCAGGCATAAATCGCGGAGACTATGCCTCCTTTCGGCCTTCGAAAAATTAATTGCCATAGGCCTATAATTTAGATAGCATTAGGTATTTAGGTTTACATGTGAAAACAAGGATTTTAGGGTTAGGGTTAGGGTTAGGATTATATATATAATTCCCCATGCAATTTCCTTGACAGGATGTAACATGCAACTCATATAAAAAATTTAAAGATTTTTTAAATCTAAATGTTGAAAGACCCCAATAAATCCCAGGGAAATATTCATGGTTATGACAACAAAAAAAGGTGAAATATATGCACTCACCAACAACCACGTGAAAACGTGTGTTGTTATTTATTGTATTTGTTTATATAAGATACATACGGCGGCCTTGCAGCGCAGCATCTGCAGCCAGACCATTGAAGAACTATTATTAATTGTGTTAAGACAGATGCGGCGCTCCAGGGGAGCACGATGCCCCCACTTTATCAATTACTTTTTGTTCTAATAGGTATCTAATAGGTACCCGCTCCACATTCTCGAGTGCCCTTGAGTGATACATGTCTGTAAAAACCCAATACACACACACACACACACACTCGGGAATGACAGCGTCGTACCCCCTCAGGTTTTACCCACACCAATAATCTTGAGCAATTAAACTGCCCTTTTGTGATTGAAAACTCTGCCCATCTTTTGCTTCATTCCATCCTTCCTAATCTTTATAATTCCTACTTTTTCCCTATCCTTTCCTCTCTTCGTTTGCATATTTTCTTTCCATCCTCTCTCTTTCTTTACATCTCAGCATATTTCTGCTCATCCCTCCTCTCGATGATGCCATACTTTTTTTTTCTTCTTCTTCTTCTGATCCTACTCCCCTCTTATCCACCTTATTCCTTCCTTTTCTCCTCCTCTCCACGCTATCAATAAAGACACACAAACACTACGGATCTACATACATCTATATTTAGCGGTTAAAGCATACAATTAAAAACAAAAGTTTCTCTTTCTGTTAACTTTTACACTGAAAATCAATGAAAGTGATAATTTATTATGCATAACTTTCCTCATAATTTGACATTTACAGGTTGTATATTTTTCTGATTTATAATCTATAACTACAAGTCATAGCTTTTCTTTCTACTGATTTTGTTAGTGTTTTTTTTTTTTGTAGTTGAATGGCAAATCTTGAAAGCATATATGACAAGAATACCTAAAGACATTCATGATTCTGGTGGTGACCAGTTCCAGAAATCAGCTTTTACCTTTTTATAGCCTCATACCTTTTTAAGAATTAGAAGTTTTGCCGTTATCCAAATCCCAAACTCATTACAGAAGATTCGTTTCATCTTACTCTGGTACTCGTCAAATGCCTACGGACACAAAGTTCTGTTTTGTTGTGTGTTTTTTCAGCGAGCGAGCGAGCCAACAATGACATTTTTAATATGGTAATTTGTTACATTTTGAAACACACTTGATAACAGGCACGTACGCAGGGGGGGGGGGGTTGGGTTTAAACCCCCCCCCCTTGAGTTTTTTTATGTATATATTTTGTGTATGTTTTTTTTTGTGAAAACCCTAACCCCCCCCCCTTTGATTTTTTTTTATTTTTTTTAAATTATACCAATGGCTGACCTAAAAAAGGTGACCTTACCCCCCCCCCCAACGGAACAAATTTTGAGACAAAAAAAAAAGAAATAAAGTGTCCTCTTACCCCCCCCCCCCCCCCCCCCCCCGCCCCCCCACACTAAGTGACTTTTCGGCTGGCTGAGTCGTTGCGACTTTTTTTGGACTCGAAAAAAAAAAAAAAGTGTCAGCTTACCCCCCCCCCCCCCCCCCCCCCACACTAAGCACTTTTCGGCTGGCTGAGTCGTTGCGATTTTTTTTTGGACACCTAAAAAAAACAAAAAAAGTGTCCGCTTACCCCCCCCCCCCCCCCCCCCCCCCCCCCCAACACTAAGCGACTTTTCGACTGGCTGAGTCGTTGCGATTTTTTTTTGGACTCAAAAAAAAAAAAAAAATTGTAACAATGGCTGACCTAAATAAAGGTGACCTTCCCCCCCCCCCCCCCCCAACGGAACAAAATGTCAAATTTTCAAATTTCAAGACCAAAAAAAAAAAGAAAAAAAAGTGTTCTCTTACCCCCCCCCCCCCCCCCCCCACACTAAGCGACTTTCCGGCTGGCTGAGTCGTTGCGATTTTTTTTTGGACTCAAAAAAAAAAAGTGTCTGCTTACCTCCCCCCCCCCCCCCCCCCCAAACTGAGTGACTTTTCGGCCGGCGCGATTTTCAAATTTTCGGGAGTGACTTTTCGGCTGGCTGAGTTGTTGCGATTTTTTTTTGGACTCAAAAAAAAAAAAAAAAAAAAAAAAAAAAAAAAAAGTGTAGGCTTACCCCCCCCCCCCCAAACTGAGTGACTTTTCGGCCGGCGCGATTTTCAAATTTTCGGGAGCAGATTTTTCGGGCCCGATTTTAAAAACCCCCCCTTGAAAAAATCCTGCGGACGCCACTGCTTGATAAGATTAAAAGAAATACATGTACGAGTACAAGAATACGAAAATCACATATTTGGTCACCTCCATACACGAATATGAGGATTTCGGGCATCTTGCTATTCAGAATCATTCTGTTTCTCAGTGTTCCTAGCGAGTGAAGCAAACAAGTGTCGTACAAAACGATAAGAAGATTTATTTGGGCACCTTGTCGCCCAAATGTGACAATATTCCAGTAATTTGCTATCTAATAGATATTCGGGCACCTCATTGCCAACATATGGACTTATTCAGGCACCTCACTGCCTGAAATCATCTTGTTTCTAAATTCTGTGAAAATACACTTTTAAAAAATGTCCATAAAACTTTCTCTTTTTTTTCCCAGTGAATATACATAGCGGTTTCAAACATTTTTTCCCCACGAAATTCATGTATATTACAAGATGGATACAAATGGATCTTTACCAATTTCTCTCACAGCATGTTTTGTGGCACCCCCACTTAAAAAACCTGCCCTAAAGCACAATTGCATTCATGAAATTTCATTCTCCATGAAATACAACAACTAGTGAGCACATTTTTTTTTTTTTTTTTTGATCCTCAAAAAAAAATTCAATTGCACCCCCCCCCCCCCTTGAGCGCCAGGGGGGGGGGCCAACCCCCCAAAAAGGTAAAAATCACGTGATTTTACGTGATTTTTTTTCTCAAGGGGGGGGCCCTCCCCCCCCCCCCCCCCCCCCCCCCCCCCCCTGGATCCGCCACTGGACTGAAGTCCATCCTTTCGTAATCATGAAGTATATTGGATCCTTCTGGATCTAAACTCACAGTTCCTGGTCAGATGTATCATGTTCACTAACCATCAACAACATTTTGGAAACTCAAGTTCGATCGATTATATCTCTCTTAGATGATGACAGATAAGATTTATTCATTCAAAAAAATTGAGTTGTGTATATATTGTGCACTCTATATTTTATGTATTGCAATTTGAAATAAGTTGCATGATACAATAGAGAATACTACATAACAAAAATCTTCTCATGGGACAACTGTTGCTTTGTTTAGTATCATTAGAAAGTACCAGTATGTTTATTACTCTTTAAAATGATACCATATTTATCATGATCTGCAGTCATGGAATGAGCAGTACATCGTAATAAAGGGCAGGGTCAAAAGTGTAAACTTGCAAAATGCACTGGTAAGCACTGGTATTGTTATGTAGCACACTACATAGCAGCCCTTTACTCTTCTAAGAAAGAATGCACAGCCGAACAAGAGCAGTGCATTTTGCAACTTTGACTTTTCACCTTGCCCCTTATTTTTATTGAATGCACATTCCATGATTGTTAAGTCCGTAAACAAATGGGGTATCATTTTAAACAGGTTTAAACACACGTTCCAATGATACTAAACATAGCGATGGTTATGGCATAACAAGAGAGATAATCATTCAAACTTGATTTTCCAAACACATTTTGGGGGAGTTAGATAACAGTCAAGGAGTTCAATTCACAAGATGATGACAGATTATTTCCATAAAGCCTTACAACCGCTTCACATCCTGCTCAGTCTAGCAATGCCTGCACTGCCAGAACTGTATGTTTGTTCATATTCAAATAACATGACATCACTTCCTGGTCCGTCATTCATTCCATCTATGTCCGCATTGTTGGTAACAGCACTTGTAGAAGGTGGTCATTGGTTCGTCAGCAGAACGAGTCTGCATTTGCATGAAATAGGCCCTCGGTGTTCACACTTAGGGCATTTTTCTGGTGGTGTTGAAAAAGAAAACCCAAATAAATGTATAACTATGACAGGCTAAACATGTTTAATTTTCGACATGAAAGTATAAAGTGAAATCTAAATGTAATTAAGACATTAAATACACTTTAGAGGAATATCCCATATGCCAGTAAGCAATTTGCTCTGAAAGAATACACAAAAATTATTTTTTTGTGACATCTTGAACAAATTAATAAATGTGTATTCATCAAAGAAGTAAATTACAAATTTTTCAAGTTGTGATCGCTGCTTACACGCAGATGGAATTTTCAAATTGATAAATTTGCTATGTCACTGTGTTGCATTGTCCGTATATAACTCCTGTTAAATTTTGTTACTGAGGTGTACTGTATTATGGGGTCTCATGATATAACAACCAAATAGGCTTACCAGCTGTTGAGTCGACATTCTCCCATGCTGCTGCACCGCCTAAGACATCATCTACTTCTTTCAGACGTGGATATTTTCTATTGGCGAGCTTAAAAGGGAGACAAACAGAAAGAGAGAGCGAGAGAGAGGGGGAAATGAGGATAAATTACTAATTGGCTCTGTTCTACTTAGGAATAGGATACATCAAGCATTCTGTCTGTCTCAGTCATGTACTTTCTCTCACTCACTCTCTCTCTCTCTCTCTTTCTCTCTCTCTCTCTCTCACTCACTCTCCTCAGCTATCTTTCTTCTCACCTTTCGTCTTTCCCCTCCTTATCTCTTAGTATTTAGTTATTCACATAATTTTATCACCCTCATTCAAGTTTCAAGTTTATTTTTTCCATTTTATCGAAGATAACATAATTGAACATAATGCACATCGTAATAATTATAACAAAACATACAATATAAAAACATAATGTACATGGTAGACTAATAGCTGTAACAAAAGATACAATCATAGGTATGATAAATACATTTCAAAAAGCTAAATAAAATGGGGGATCTACTAAAAAGTAAACTTGTATTATGTCCCAGTTCCATTCTCTTTCTCATACAGTGTAGTTTTTATCATCGTATAAGGTACCCTGTTTAGGCTTGTCATCTACCCTCTCCTCTCTCCTTCCTTATCTCTTTGATAACATCTGTGTTTTGATGCAATGAATAATTCTTTGTATTTATTTGATTTTGTTTATCTATTTGTTTTGTTCATTCTACGTTTATAACATCATTGTTCAAATGCCTTGTATTAATTGTATTAATTAGATAGTCAACTGAACTCTTCAGTCAGTTTGAAAATTGTATGCACATTTGTAGACCAAATTTTTCTGTCTCTTTCGTTCGTTAGCCTCTGATTTGGTAAGGTCGGCTCTCTCTTTAGAGACAGAACAGCCCTATACGCTTTAGTGTTCACGCGTTTTGTGTAAAGAAACGTTACACAAAACTTGGCCAAACTTAATCCCTAATTTTGATATTTTACCGGATGCGTATCCGATGCATTTTTAGTCCAAAATTAGCTACATGCTTAACTACTTCGGTTTCACTTACCAACTCGACTACTTGAATCCATTTAATGGTCCCTTTTCAGGAAATTATGGGTCAAGATGAAGAAAATCTTGCAGCCGGGGTTGTGTATGAACTATGACGTCATCTAAATCTCATTCCTTCTAGTCTACGCCGAAGGCAAAATGATTATGAAGGAAAAACTGTGCACGAGCTACGAGTTCGTAATGACATGCACAGTTTTTCCGTTATAATCATTTTTCCTTCGGCGTAGACTAGAAGGGATGAGATTCGGTCTTCTTCTTCTTCTTCCTCAGTAAATGCAACTTCATACAACGAAAATTACGCACTGCAGTGTGGTGTGTGCCATGTCCAAAATGTGTGTAGATTTCTAGGCCTCAATCCAGCACATTTCGTGATAGAAATACGCCAATGGTAAAAGTCTAAAATTAAAGCCAAGGGTAATTATTGACATTGCATTGGTTCGCTGTAATTTTCGAGGATAAATGCATCGGATATAAATCTGCTAAAAGTAAAATTTAGGATTTCGGGCAAATTTGGTGGCCAGATTAAGCCACCAAAGTTTGCAGAGCAGACCCTATTTTCGGCTTCTGTCTCTACAGAGACGAGCCGAACCTATCGAGCGAAAGAGACACCCCATGCCGGGTGTAAATTCACAGTCACAGGAGCCCGTTCGCGCCCCGCGCCCTCCCGACCATTGCGCTGGCATTAAATGCATGATGAGGCTCTGAGTCTGAGCTCTGTTTAAATAAATAACTACGTTTGATAGACTACTCACTTTTCGGGTCACGTTGTGAACGTATGGACAGGTATTGCAAGCGAATCTCAGGCACTTTGGTCCTTCCTCAACAACCAAGACATTTGCACATGTTGGGCAAAACAACATTTTGAAAAATTACAATTTACACAAACTTGGAAGTTGGATTGGATGTGCAATCCATTACGTTGGCGTTGAAATCGACAGAATCATGAATAGTACGCGTATGACGTACACGTATATGAATATTTATAAGGTCTGCTGTTGTCTGATCATGCATATTATATGTGGTATCGAGTGCGCCTTGAAAACTTATTATTCCGTTTAGTCTTTAGCTTACAGTCTTTGGTTACAGACATAAATGTATAATCAAATATTTTACATTATAGTTATTGGACCATAACCTATGATTGAATCTTTTGTAATAAATAAACATACAAAATTAATTTTTAGAAGAAGAAGAAGAAAGGGAAGAGATTTTTTTTTTAAATAATTAGCTAGAGCGCCCTTAACCTAATGCATAATTCATAAATCTTCAGTTGCCATCCTACGGTTTAAAATATTCGCTGGCGAGTGGGGAAGCAGAACAGACAGCTGCATGGCCGGTGGCCCAATAATTCGACAGGGGGTAGTGGGGGTCGATTTTTTAACTCTATTACGTGTTATTATTCAAACTCCGCACACCTCTCAATGAGAAGTGCGCTTCGAAATGATAGGGGCTGTGACTGTCAAATAGAAGGGGCAAGGGGGGCAAGCGGACACTTTTTTTTTGGGGGGGGGGTCTCGAAATTTGAATATTTGCGTTTATCTTCGTTGGGGGGGGGGTAAGGTTACCTTTTTTAGGTTAGCCGTGGGTATAATTTTTTTTTTTTTTTTTTTTATAATGAACCGAAAAACAAAAAAAAAAGGGAGGTTTTAGATTTTTTTAGGGGGTTTACACACATAAAAATACCAAAGGGGGGTTTAACCCCCAACCAGGGGCGTACGCAGGGGGGGGGGGGTTTGGGGGGTTCAAACCCCCCCCACCCCCCCCCTTTGGTATTTTTATGTGTGTAAACCCCCCTAAAAAAACCAAAACCCCCCCCCCCTTTGGGTTTTTTTTTTTTTTTTTTTTTTTTAATTATTAAAAAAAAAAAAAAAAAAAAGGTTAACCTAAAAAAGGTGACCTTACACCCCCCCCCCCCCCCAACGAAGAAAAATGTCAAATTTTGAAATTTCGAGACCAAAAAAAAAAAAAAAGTGACCGCTTACCAGTTTTCGTTTTTTTTTAGTGCCAAAGGCCTGCTTTACAAAAGAGCCCTGTACCTACACAGATTTACACACAAACAATAGAATACATTGTAGAAAACAAAGACATTATATAAACAACATACCATAAGAGATTGAGAAAATTATATCAAATGAATAATAACAAAAACTAATTAAAAACTAAAACAAACTAAAAAAAACTAGATCAAAATGAACATAAGGCCTAAAATATAAAACATTTAAGATATTATGGATACAAAGTAATGACTTGGTAACATTGAGAGAAAGAGGTGCTATGGTAGTTACCTCAATGCTTGATGTACAATTAAAGATAATCTGAAAGTTGGAGTGAAAACGGATTATTATTAATGATACAAATTGGGAAAAACTGATCTGATCGATTCCTTAATTCTCCCAGCAATATTTTTACAATTTAATTACATTTTAGGTGAATGAATATATTGGCTCTATGTACCATTCCAGATATGTTGAAAGATTTGTTAAAGCCTGTTTTAGGTCTTTTTTCATCGGAAAACGTTTGGAAAAACTAAAAATAGTTGTGGGAATTTACTGTAAATCACTGTTATAGGGTGTTACACATGACACCTTCAAAGAAAACCATAAATATCTATGTGGTTTGAGAATTCTTTTCAGGATTTTTTGCATGTCAGAGGGTTAGTACAGTAGAAGGAATATAATGACTATGGGGGCACCTTTTAGGGCCCCCAATGCCCCCCCCCCTGGGACATGCCAGACGCCCCATTCCTTACATCGTAATAGATAGCGAATCATGTTGAAAAATTGTTACCTTTCCAGCGATAGGGTGACCCCTGCTTGCTCCAGGGCGTCACTAAATGGTGTGTGGGGTGCGACCCCCCCCCCCCCACCTGACTGACAGGATATCAGTGTCGGTAAAATTGCGCTGCTGTCGGGAAAAATGAGAAAGGGGGAATGAGAAGGAAAGGAAAAGAAAAAAGGAAAGAGAAAAGAAGAATGAAAGAGGACAAGGAAAAGAAAGAAAAGGATAAAGAAGCCAAAAAAAAAAAAAATAGACGGGGGGTGAAAGAGAGGAGAGAGGGGCGGCAGGGGCCGGGGTAAGAGACCGAGGGTGGGCGTATAAGAGAGAGACGGGGATGCATGGATATAGCATATATACTTATGTTGCTGTATCGGGTCCGCTGTGTCGGTATTCTTGCTCGATCCTCGTGTTATATACCAAATCAGACAAGGAATAAGAGTCGAGAACGGTACAACGAATCGTCTTCTTTCTCTAATAATTGAATTAAATGTCAGAGCTTCCGCATTTCGCGCGAGAGGCCGGGAAACTGAAAGATAATTTTGCTCCTGGCCCAGGTTTGTAGGGTTTAATTTGTAGACATTGGGACATTGGCATTATTATTTGTGGGTGATTGGTGGCTAGTTTGTCGGTAATCGGTAGCCTCTATACCCCCCCCCCCCCCCCAACACTGAAAAAAAAAACTCCAAAGACGTACGCCCCTGGCTGGCTCCCGATGTCTTGCTCGACTGTTCGGTTGGAACCATACAAAACCTTAGACAGGCGCAATCATTATAATGAATATTTATGAACTGGGCGGCGCGCGTTAGGTACTTATTATTCATGAGTCTGTCGATTTTTACGCCGACATATTATAAATACCATGCTGCTTCTGCTAGGCGTTCAACCTATGGAATTCATTAGTCATTACCATTAACTCGAAAGAATCGAATAAATAGATGATTCAGTGGAACAGTGGAACAGTGGAAGCCTTGAACGTACTACTGGTAAGAGGTTAGTATAGAAATTTCTAGATGAGCTAGTCTTTCTAACAAAACACTAGGCCTAGACCCTAATTTTTACACATCGATATTCTATCAAAAATGCATAGATCTAGATCTAGACTCTAGAGTCTAGGCGGTAGGCCCTACCCTAGGGCTAGGCCCACACATAGGTGCATTACTATCCTGGATCTGTATTAAAAGCTGTGCGATTGATTCTCAACATTTCAAACACAACTGTACAAAACTCAACTGATGTCACTCAAAATTGGTATTTAAGCGACGATTAATGACACCTGAATAGCAGTAAAATACAATTTTTTTAACTTTCCGATATTAGAAAGAATAATTTAAAAATTCAAATTGTGAGTCCCAATGTCAAACTTGCCGATCAGCCGCATCGGTATGATTGTGTGCATCTGTTTGTTATGAGTGTATTGACTATTCATGTATTCAAATGCTGCCTATTAACACGTAGTGCAGTACTAGAGCTCAATACGCATTGGCATTGACTCTCTGTGCTTTGCTGGAGTGCCTAGACCTAGATCTAGGGCTATACACACATAGGAGCATCACTATCCTGGCTGCGTAGTAAAACTAAAAGCTGTGCTTTTGATTCTCAACATTTCAAACACCACTGTACAAAACTCAACTGATTTCACTCAAAATCGGTACTTTAGTGACAATTGATGTCACCTAAATAGCAGTAAATACATTTTTTCAACTTACTGATGTTAAAAAGAATAATTTAAAAATTCAAAAAATGTTAAAAAGAATAATTTAAAAATTCAAATTGTAAGTCTAGTGTCAAACTTTGCTTACAGCTGCATCGACATGATTGTGTACAGTCTATGGAATATTTTGTGGTGTGTATATTTGTGTATGGGTCTAATAATACCTGGCTCACAGCATGTACGCAGTGCTAGAGGTCAATACGCATTAGCATTGACTCTCTATGCTTTGCTGGAGTGGGGCTATACTTCTATAGGCGGCCAAGGCCGGGCTACAACGCTGAATATCTGGATGTGTACGATGCAGGGCCCTACTGGGCGTAAACGCATCGGTAGAGAGAGAGGGCGTGGGGGTACTTAGAAGGCTCTGTCAATGGCCTTCCTGAATGTGCTGGTTGATGTGGAATTTATGGTGTTTTTATCCAAATGGTTACATTCAATGATGGTAGATTGGAAGAATGAGCTCCTGTAGTTTTCAGTTTGTGCTCTGAATATATTCTTGACTTTTGTATCACACGAAAACAAAGCCATACAATATTATTATTATTATTTATATCCATTAATTATCATAAGAAAGTTGCATTAGAAGTGTAGATCTACACAACAAGAAAAATAATAGTTCACTATAAAAGACGTTTCCTGCAAACTACATCAGAATAGTTCATTTTTTATTTGTGATGTCACGCATAGTCCCTTTTTTCCCTAGGGAAAAAGTGAACTAGGTCTATGCGTTTGTTATTGCTGACATCACGCATAATTTCCTTTTTCCCTAGGGAAAAAGTGAACTATGCGTTTTCCCAGCGAGCGCAGGCGCGGATCCAGGGGGGGGCCGAGCGGGCCATGGCCCCCCCCCCCCCCCCCCCCCGCAAAAAAAAAAGAAGGAAAGAAGGGAAAGGGAAAGAGGAGAGAAAGGGAAACAAGAAGAGGAAGAAGAAAAGAAAAGAGGAAGAAGTAGATCGGGGGGGGGGGGGGGCAAAAGGACTTGCCTCCCAGGCTGTTGCCCCCCCCCCCCCCAATCAAAAAATAAAAAAGAGAAGGAAGGGAAGGGGGAAAAAAAGGAAAAGAGGAGATACAAGAAAGGAAAAAGGAGAAAGAAGAAAAGAAAAAAGGGGATAACGACACAACAAATCGTCTTCTTTCTCGAATGATTTAATGAAACGTAAGCTTCCGCTTAGCGCGGGAGGTGGAAAAATCAATTCAGACAAGGATTATTTTTTGGGAACGGTACAACAAATCGTCTTCTTTCTCTAATAATTTATTGAAATGTCAAAGCTTCCGCGTTTCGCGGAGGAGGGAGGGGGAAACTCGCCCCTCCCTGCACCCTCCCACCCCCAATTACGTCACTGCTAGTCACCATTACGAACCAATATTTGGCTCGCATAATTTCAATTTTTGCCCCCCCCCCCCCCCTAAGAAATCCTGGATCCGCGCCTGATGTATATACAACGGCAACAGTTTCAATATAAAATGTAAGTTCTTCTTACTTAAATCATTGGTCTGGAAACAATTATTTGCCCATTGTTGTATATTGTATTACATTTTCACTGACAATGAATTCACATTGTAAAGCAAATTTTCAAGTTTCCCAGGCTTATTTAGGAGAACAGAAGATTGATATTGTTTAGTTGTACGATAACATCACTCAGTTTGATTTGATTTGATTGGAGATATATCTCATTAAAAACAGAGTAAAGGCTATACAGTTTCAAACAAACCTACACCATTAAACTTCAAGCTCACTCACACATGATTTATTGCGACACTTTCAAGGCTACTTGCTATTTCAAGTTCATGTATATACAAAGGGCAACAGCTTCAATATTAAACGTAATTAAATAAATGGTCTGGAAAATGTTAATGCCCATTGTTGTATAGTATACAACATTTTCCATAACGATGAATAAACATTGTATAATGCAATTTCAGGAAAACCATACTTGTCATTACTGTTATATTTGTTATATGATACTAAAGCAAATCGTTTCGCTTATCGATAAGATAAATCAATGTGAAGTACGTGTCAAATAATGAAATCATTACGTGCTATTTTTAACCGGACTAGACATTTGAAACGTATAAAAAATGTATACACTATTGACAGCAAGCAAGTTTTTTAAACAAAGAATTCAGAAATTGAACAACATTGCACATTTTAGTCTTGATCTTAGGTTGATCATCTAGTATATAAGTATTCTCGTGTATATAATTTGTAAGGTTCTGGAATCATCAAAATGATTAGAAATTTTGCCAAATCTTGGCAAAGTTACAAGCACTGTACACAGAATGATGTATATGGGACTACACGAGCACACGGCGAAAAAAAAAAAAAAAACCCGATTTTTACGTATTTTATGTCATATTTAGAATATGAAGGCATTTGAAGAGCCATGCTTTTCTGGGAACATGTTTAATCTGATGTTCTTCCACCCTTGTATAATAACAATGATAACGCTCACAAATTATTTTTTACCTTTTCCCAGAACTCAACCTTCTCTTTAAGTCTTCCATATAAATATAAATTTAAAAGAAGGTCAATAATCATCATGAAAACACCACTTTCGTAAGATTGACACATCAATATATATTGTGCACACATGTAACAATGTGATAATATTTTTTCTTGGGGGGGGGGGGGAACGGGAGGAGGGCAATCCAAAAAGGGACTGATATGTGAACATTAATATTGATAGGTCGCTTCACAAAAGGGGCATACATAGTCCTTTTTTGTGGATAGTTTTTTGAGCAAAACACAAAATAGGTGGAAGGACGGGGTACACGTCTTCCTTCAATTTTCTGAGGGGATCGTCCCCATGGATAATTTGAAAAAGTGCACACCAACAAAATGTATAGCAAATACTGTCTAAAGACTGCAACACGCTTTAAGGCTCTGGTGGGCCCAAGAGTACAGCGTTTAGACTAATGCTAAAAGCTTCTCGCTCGGTCGCTACGCTCCTTCGCATAATATACTAAAAATATACAAGTAAATATTGAAGAAAATATGTATTCTGTTGGTATCAAGTATGTACAAATTACACTGTATGTTAACAACATTAAAAGTTATAGAAATAGATCAGTGTTCCAAAAATGAATATTCAGCTTGCTCTTTTAAGAAGTCCCTTCCTGCTCAGTCAAACTAAAATTTACCTAGTAAATATTTACAACCCTTCGGACTGCACACTAGATATCGGCAAAGTAAAAGTGAAGCGTGAAAAAAGTATATTGCTTGTTTTTATGCTGTAGTTTTGCTATAGAATGTAATTTTGTAACACAACAAAACTTCAAAAACCTGTGAGGGGTTTACATATAAGACTTATCATACAGCTTTATGGGGTAGTCCCTTCCGTCACCTCCGCCTCTTTCACTGGCGTACTGACGGATGGGGGGGGGGGGGGCAGTAACCCCCCATACAATTTAAACATGGGTTATTTTTAATTTGATACCAGTGATTTACAAGAGTATTGCTAAAATGGCAGTATTTTTCCATGAGCTCCCGGGGGCTCTACCCCCTGGAACCCACCAAGGGCCCTAAGGCGGCCCCTGTTTGCTCATCTTGCCGTAATTAAATGCCTAAAGTCCTTGAGCTTTCGGGGGCTCTGCCCTCTGGACTCAACCAAGGGGCCTAAGGCGGGTCCCTAGATGCGTAATTTGGTGCCTAAAAGCCCTTCCGTTATGTATTTCTTATGTATTTCTTTGTCTTTCTTTCTCCATATCCTCTGCACTCTCCTAATGTATTTTTTTTGTTTTCCCTTTTCTATTACCTTCTCTTCACTTGGTATACGTGCTTGCACATGTACTATATATGGCTAAACAGTTTTGTAAAAAAAAATATGCGCAAACAGTCAAGGAGTAAGAAGAAGGCAAAAAGAGAACAAAGACGGCATCCATGGAAGCCATGTGAGAGTGTCCACTTTTTACGCTTTTACTTTCACCCTTGCATTCTTTCCTGAATCAGAGTTTTCTCACACCTTGTAGACTCGTGCAGGTTATGATCTTGTGTGTGTGTGTGTGTGTGTGCGCTCTCACCTCAGCATTCTTGTGGGGTTTTATGTGCGCTTCACATACCCCTTGTGAGGCATTTTTACTTTGTGGGGTATTTTTTCAGGACCCCACAGAGTAAAGTCTTTCAAATGACTGTATATTCGGTGTCCTATGCCCTGCGGGGCATTAGAAGTGGTACCCCATAAATGACTTTTTGTGAGCGTGTGCTAAAACTTGCACACTTTTTTATGGTAACATCGTAAGCACACCGCCGGGTTGTTATCGCCAGGTTGTACATACCCCACTAGTAGGGGACCACAAGGTATATCTGGAACGCACAGAAATACCCCACAATCAGGTGCCCCACAAAGGCCCTGATGTGAGAATTATGAGATACAATGTAAAAGGAAATGAGAGAATAATGGTCGCGTAGCTTAAATCAAAGTTTCCCATTGCAGTCCTCCCTTTTTGGATATTTTTGCATTATGTTTTTGTAAGAGGTATAGCGCCAGAAGAAAGAAGAGGAAGAAGAAAAGAAACGGGTGAAGAAGGAGATTGGGGGGGGGGGGCGAAAGGGCCTTGCCTCCCAGGCTGTTGCACCCCCCCCCCCCCCTAAAATAAAAAAAATAAGAGAGAAGGAAGGAAAGGGAAAGGGTAAGAGGAGATAAAGGGAAGGAAAAAGAAGAAAAGAAAAGAAAGGGGATATCATTTGCAATTTTCCCGCCGGTGGATCGAGGAGGGGCAAAAGGCCCTTACCTCCCCCCGCCCCCGTTATAACAAAGAGAGAAAGAAGGAAAAGGGAAAGAGGAGAGCTAAAAAGGAACAAAAAAAGGGGAAGAGAACGGGAGATCAGTTCCGGTTAATCCCGCCAACAACTTGTGGATCGGGGTGGGGGCCGAAAGACCCTTGCCCCCCCCCCCCCCCCCCTCGGCAAACCTGAAGGAGGAGAGAAAGGGAAAGAAGAAAAAAGAGAAAGAAGAAAAAAGAGAAAGAAGAAAAGGGGGGCACTGGCGTACTGAAAGGGGGGGGGCTTGGGGGAATTCAAATTCAAACGTGGTTTATTTCTAATTCCATAACGGTGGCTTACAAATAATGCTGAATTCTTTCCGAGATTTTTCCTCATTTTTTAGTAAATTATACTTTTGTATGCGTTTGTTGGAAAATGACAAATTCCTAAATTTACAGCCAGGCAAGAAATATGATTCTTGAGAAAAGTTGGGGCCCGGGGATCGGCTGGAATCGCAAGCCTCGAGCTCCCCCGCCCCCCCCCCCCCCCCCCCTCCACTTTTTTTTTAAAAGGTATAGTAAAGAGAAATAGAAATAAAGAGAGCAAGAAAGAAAGAATAGTTAACTAGCTGCTCATCTGACCGAAATTAAACGCCTAAAAACTCCTGAGCTTTCGGGGTTCCGTCCCTTGCACCCCGCCTAGGGCCCTGGACTCCCCTGGATGCTAATCTGACGGAAATGTAATGCCTAAAACCCCTGTTTTCTGGGGGCTTCGCCCGCTGGACCTCACGCCAATTAGTGTCCTGCCAGTGTCACAAATAAGGTATAAAAATATGTTTATCTGACCGTAATCAAATGCCTAAAACCCCTGAGCTTCTCGGGTCGAACAAGGTATCAAAATTTGTTTATCTGACCGCAGGCGCGTAGCCAGGGGGGGGGGGGGTAGAAAAAAAATAGAGAGGAGAGGAAAGGAAGAGGACGTAGGGAGAAAAAGGAGCAGACAAAAAACATCTTTGAAATTCAGACAAGAATTAAGAGTAGAGTACGGTACAACGAATCGTCTTCTATCTCTAATAATTTAATGAAACGTCAAAGCTTCCGCGCTTCGCGGAGGGGGGGGGGACTGAATTAAGACAAGGATTAAGAGTATAGAGAACGATACAACGAATCGTCTTCTATCTCTAATAATTTAATGAAACGTCAAAGCTTCCGCGCTTCGCGGAGGGGGGGGGGCTGAATTAAGACAAGGATTAAGAGTCGAGAACGATACAACGAATCGTTTTCTTTCTCCAATGATTTAATGAAACGTAAAAGCTTCCACGCTTCGCGCGAGACGGGGAGGGGGGGGGGAGAGGCTGAATTAAGACAAGGATTAAGAGTCGAGAACGGTACAACGAATCGTTTTCTTTCGTCAATGATTTAATGAAACGTAAAAGTTTCCGCGCTTTGCACGGGAGGGGAAAATTGCATTCAAACAAGGATAATTTTCGAGAACGCTATAACGAATCGTCTTCTTTCAATAATAGTTTAATGAAACGTCAAAGCTTCCGCGCTGCGCGGAGGGTGGGGGGGGGGCTGAATTAAGAGAAGGATTAAGAGTCGAGGACGGTACAACGAATTGTCTTCTTTCTCTAATACTTTAATGAAACGTCATATATAGCTTCCGCGCTTTGCAGAGGAGGGAGGGGGAAACTCGCCCCTCCCTACACCCCCTGCATTACGTCACTGCTGGTCACCATTACGTACCAATATTTGGCTCGCATAATTTCAAATTTGGGCCCCCCCCCCCCCTAAGAAATCCTGGATCCGCGCCTGAGCGAGCGTACAGGATTTTCAATGCCTCCGCACGGGCAACTCCCGTGGTGTCACGGCGCTTAAGCCATATGCAATTTAAGCTGTGCGGTAACTGCACTACACTAATGCAATAGCGCCAACTAAACATATTTACATCTTTCAATGTTTCATTTGAGCCACTCAATTTTCTTTTATTTCTTTTCGATCTGAATGTAAGATGTGAATGTGAGTATAAGGTTCATGTTATTACAGAAGTTGTCAAGGAATAAAACAGATGGAAGGGGATATAAAACAAATATAAAATGACTCATTTTCGGAACAAGCTAAAACTATTCGCTCTCAGGAACCTCATGAGTACTTTTCTCCTGATTTATTGCACCACTTGGAAGCCTTATATAGATAATAATGTTTAATAATTAATATTGTCTAACACAAATCTTGAGAAACATAACATGCAAACTTCTTCAGATTACCGTTTTAGAGCCCCAGTGTGCCACTTGCTCCCTCTATACATGAGTCAAAAATAAAGTTTACACCTAGAAAATTGCAAATTATTAAAAAAATCCTCGATAAACATTAAACTGTTCTATGTCGTATGAGAGAGTGTTTTATCCCAAATCATTTGGTACCATTTTTGTGTGGTATGTGTTCATGCTTGGATGAACAGGAGACATTGTTTGCGAGAGTGCAAAAATCAACTTGCGCCAAAGTTGCCTAGATCTATGTGATGTTTGAATAAAACAATTGGGATTTGGGTATTAATTCGGTCTTTGCAGATCTAAATAACACCCCTAACAAAATTAATCATGCCACACATTTCAAATATCAAATATCAACAAACATTTTTGCGCGTGTGTGTGGGTGTGTGTAACTTTGCCCTTTGCAAAAAACATATGCAATGCATTTCATTTGATACATTCAATCCATGCTGCTCCTATTCTACTTTCATATTCACATCTATATTCATAATCATACCTGAATTTATTCATGTGATTCAGAATTGTATTTAAAATTCTTGCTATGTATAAGTCGTATAACTGTCTTGTCATGTTTTGTGCTGAAAGCCGGAGGACCGTACCTGGTCATAGACTTTTTCTTATAAAGTCTTGACGCCCTTCTGGCTTTCAGCACACGACACCATGTTTTTGTCTTATGTTTTATGTATTACATGTTATACCAATGGAAAACAAATTTCTGTATTATATTATGGACAACAAAATCTTGAATCTTGAATCTTGAATTCTCTCACTCCGCTAATCCCAACATTATACATACTGAAGGCATCACTTTGGCGCAAGTCGATTTTTGCACTCTCGCAAACAATGCCATCTGTTCATCCAAGCGTGAACACATACCACACAAAAATGGTACCAAATGATTTGGGATAAAACACTCTTTCATAAGATGTAAAATAATTTACTGTTCATAGATGATTTTAAAAATAATTAGCAATTCTCTAGGTGTAAACTTTTTTTTTTACTCACACGGTATAGAAAACAATGCCTAATCGGTGACCATTGGTCCCCCATTATCCTCTTTTTCTTATGTTCATTGAGAGCTCAGTTGATGAGATAGCCACCTGTGTGGTCTAATCCCTCCTAGCCATACTAGTACAGACTGGCTTTAAATCATCTGTCCAGATACACAACGTCTGGATATAAATAAATTAAACTGTCATATTACCATAAAAAAGAAAGTTTATTTGTTTTTATTTGTATCCCTTGAACTTTAAAGATGGCGATGAGACACTGGACAGGTAGACTTACATCCCTACGCCAGGTGATACTCCACAAACAGGAGAGCTACCTTGTAAAGAAGCGCTTTCTTCATGGAAGAGGATCTGGGCGAGGGAAGAGCAGAGACACTCCTAATCTGATTATGGAGGTGAATTTCAAGCACACATTTTGTTCATATTAGCATGCAGGCTCTAAAGATATTAAATGAAACATCAGTAGCCCCTCGTATAAAGAGGTGCGATTCAATCGCAAGTTTGAAGTCCCTTATCTCTCACGTACATAGTTGCAATTGTCATAAATAGCAAAAAAGTTGCGATTAATCACAACTCATTATAAAACAGGGCCCTGTTGTAAATAAAATAATTATGAACTCAGGGAAAAATTTGAAATTTTGACATTCATTCGGCATCTTGAAATTCCCTCGTGTGTATTGTACATGCATCAATATTCCCTGATCAGTATGCACAACTTTCCTAATATTTTTTCCCAACTTCTTGAATAATTTTCTGATAATATTCAGTGAAACTTGCTGGCAAGATTGACTTGCCATTTAGATATTACTTGGAATCCAACCTTTAATTGCAATAAATGAATGAATGAATAGAATGCTTCATCTGGTTCTGTTTAATCAGGTCTATTGAATGATCATTTTGCTCTCCTCTCACTTAGGATAAGCCGGTAGTAGATGCACATAGTCTTCACAAACCAGTCATGGTAGAGGAAGTGTTATCCTTCTTTGCTCCACAGGCAAACCAGGTTAGTATAGATTCCCCTAGGCTTTGTGCTAAATATATGGGTCAGTATAACTAACGGTGGAGATGTCATGGTCTAGTAGGTATGTTGCCAGATTATGAAGGATATAGAAAAGAATTGAGTTCCTGCCATAGCACTAGTGTCCTTTGGTAAGGCATTAACCCGCATTTTCCACTCTCCGCCCAGGTAAAGTAACTGGTAACCTGGTATGAAACAATTCCTTGAATATTTGATTTCCTTTAATGGTAGCCAGGCTAAAATGATTGCAGGCAACTCAGGATAACAATAATAATAAGAATAATGATATTAATAATTTTAAACAAGTAATAAAGATATGATAATGATAAAATAATAAAGATGATTAGGTTAATAGTGTAGTATTAATGACTGCTTTGAGAGAAATAGTTGTTTTTTTACGCTCAAGGGAAGGTTAGAATTGTGCTATTGCCCGAGGCGTGCCGAGGGCCATAGCCCAATTGTAACCTTCCCGAGAGCGTATAAAAACAACTATTTCTCGAATATTAAAGCAGTCATTAATACTTTTATATGACGAAAACAAAAGAGTCAACTAATGACACCACCTTGGCCTTTCTCTAGTTTATCTGCATGGTTGTTTTTTATGAGTGTATCTTTGAGAGTAGACTAGATCTAGATTCTACTAGTCTAAGCAAGATATTTTTACAATTTTGGGGGTGGGCCGGCCCTGTGGGTAATATGGAGAAGAACCTGCGCCGTCATATGACACCTCACTTATTGAGTATCACCTTCAGGATCACAACAGATAAAGGTTTGAATCTCGAATTGGAAAAAAAAAACTTGACTTTTTTTGCATGGTCGCGCAATGCACGTAGACTGCATAGAGACTGCATTGCGTGCAATCTCTATGGGAAGAATTTTAACACACAACATCGGGTGCGCAATCAGATCTGTTTTCGTCTAGATCTAAGTCTATGCTTTTTCAGCAACTAAACTAACATGTTAATGGATAATTTCACGTACCCTTTTTGTTGTTCTTGCTGTCAGCGAGTCTTGCATTTGATAAGTTGAAATCTTGGGAGAGTTTCTTTAGTCATTTTTGTCTTGTTTGGAATTGTCGTCTTGTATGAAAATACCGACCAATTCTTCGCACACATACGGTATCCTCGATCGCTCAAACCATTTTTAACATGTAAACCTATGGGTAACCATGGTTACTGAGATTTTAGAACTATTTTTTAGAACTATTACATGGGTTTGGAATTTTACCGGGAATTTTACAGGAATAGTTAAAGTTTATGAATGCAATTTCGACCAATCAGATGGCTGGATTTCTTAAGTGAGGTATATAATAATAATTACAAAAACTACTACTAATAGTGAGAATGATATGATAACAATACTACTACTGTATGTTTGACTTCATTTTGACTCATTGTGTTTTAAAATGAAACTGAGTTTACTTCTAGTCATTTACATTCTAGTTCTCATTGAGTTACTACTGTTTAATGTCGAAATGAGAAAATATCCCCAAAGTCAGCAATATTATGATACCATACTTTTTTGTGTGTATTTAGATATTTTAGCTTTATTCTTGCTCTAAATATTGCTTTGAATTGAAAACTACATATTCCTGATGCCATGTGTGATGAAACATGGACTTGTCTGTTTTTAACATACATGTATGTATGTAGACAACACCTGTACAGCAAGAGATGATGACAAGAGTATGTTTGACTTCATTTTGACTCATTGTGTACAGGTATATATTGACATGACATTTGGTGGAGGAGGTCATACGCAGGCACTGATGAAATGTGCTCCAGGAATCACAGTGTATGGTCTAGATAGAGATCCTTTCGCTCATCAGATTGCACAGAAACTTAGTCTACATCATAAGTAAGTCACACATTATTAGAGCGACAAAACTGTTAATTTATATATTTGATACATTCCCAGTCAAGTGATTAGACCGCTTGACTACACCTCTACAATAATTATTATTACCTCAGTAGCATTATCAATTATCATCATAGTCATTATAATCATCAAGTTATTGTAAATTTCATTAGTAACATGTCACAGAAATATTGTCATTGAAATTTATAAGTGATCAGGAAAACTGCTTGTCCACGCAAACTACATGTACTATCCCTCCCCACCACCAATCAGACCATGTCATTTATCATTGCATCAAACCTGATTAATCAATAGTAGAGGCTCCCCAGATACTCCCCAGACACTCAACTCTAGCTCCACCGCCATCCTCCTGTCCACAAAAAGGGACTTGTGTCAATAGTGTTTCTATAAAACAGGCCACTAACTCTGCTGCCCCAACACCACACAACAAAATTGAGAGCAGCAAAGCAAGTATTCAGAGTGGACCGACGCGCACCAACCAAGTCCAAACATCCTATCCCCTGACCATCCACTCCCAATGATGCAAATGATTCAACAAGCGACACTGTGCAACTGATAGACAAAATGAGACGACTTCCACAGACTCGTATCTCAGTAACATCAAAGATACCAACACCAGACTGACTACATACCAAACTATATAACATCATCCCTAATAGCAAAAAATGGTCGTTGTGGAATTGGTCTCAAGGCGGGACTTAGGTATAATAAACAGAGATAGACAGGGGGAAAAATTACTATGAAAGATTATGAGAGGGTCTTTCATAGCAACTTGACTTTAATTCTTCATGTGATATGTACATGTAACCCTAATTTTTAAAAGAAGTCGATTCATACCAATTCAAAATATGATCTTTTTAAATTGATGATAATGATTGACTTGGTTTTGAACCGAGACCTCCCAGTTACGAGACCACTGCTCTACCACTGATCCATTGCGCCTTCCTTTTTAATCATTAAATGTTCACAGGGGTCAGTTATGTCCGTTGCTTGGAAAGTTTAGTGAGGTGAAGGATCTTCTTTCTCAGAGGGAGGTGTCAATGGTTGATGGAATACTGATTGATGCAGGCTGTTCATCCTTTCAGTTTGACTCCCCCGAGAGAGGCTTTGCTCTTAGTCAAGATGGACCTCTTGATATGAGAATGGATGCAAACAGGTAGGTTCTATACTTCCAGTATTTCCAATGTATATCTAAGGGTGGGCCAGGGGGGGGGGTACATTTTGCCCCCCCCCCCCCCCTGACAAAAAAGGGTTGGCCATGCATAGAATGTCTTAATATGAAAAAAATCCCTGAGTATTGACATGTTTACAAAAAATTCATCACTTTATAGATACGTACTGAAGTTAGTTGCTGATTTTCATAGTTATTGATATTTCATTAGATATAAAATGAGATATAAATTTGAGCAAAAATTGCTAAGAAGCATTGTCAAAGCATTGTTAAGCACTTTGATATAAATGTTTTATGAAAAGCGCTATATAAGTAAAAGTTATTATTATTATTAACAATATTGCATGGGTAACTAAAATCACTTGTTATGTGTTTGATTGTTTTTCATTTTAAAGTAAAATACATGTTTAAATTTTCAAATCTTCATTATTAACTGAAAGAATTGTCAAATGTCAGGGATATGATTATGTGCCAGAGGTTATTTGTAGATATTATGTTGAACCATGATGTATAAGATTTACGGTAACAATATGTGAGTTAGTGTCTAAAAGTAAAGAAAAATAAAGAGAAATATAAAGAGAAAAAGAAAGAGAGAGAGGCAGAAGGGAAGGATTGAGACTGGCAGATCAAATTAAAAACTGTCTCAAGTCTTACCTGTTCACCGGCTATCATTAATTGCAATACATTTGTATTTAGATCATAATTTGTATATTCAAAGTACTCCTCTCTATCTTACTGTTTTCTTTTCTCACTAAATAACTCTCTCTCTTCCTTTCTTAAAAGTGCCGAATTTTTAAAATGCAGTTGATATATGTAATTAGATTGTAGTTTTGGTTAGTGGTTTGATTTGGTGTTCTGAATTGAAGTTACATGCATGCTATTCTCTTTTGATCTTTCTATGTCTCCTTTCTGTTTCTCTATTCCTAAAAGGCCATGGGGACTGCATTGTAGTGATACGCACCATAGAAATTTAGTTAATTATTTTTTTATCATTCCTTTTGTTCTGCAGAATCCCATCACAACCGACTGCAGCTGATGTGGTAAACTCATTGGACCATGTGACTCTCACTCAGATCTTGCGCACATATGGGGAAGAATCAAATGCCAAAAAAATCGCCCAGGCCATCATAGATTATCGCACAAATTTTAACACTTTCTCTTCTACATCAGAACTGGCAACAGTGATAGCATGTTGTCACACCCACAGAGATGCTAAAAGTAATCGAGACAAGCTTGGCCGTCATGCACATACAGCTACCAAGACTTTTCAAGCATTGCGAATCTTTGTGAATAATGAACTGAATGAATTAGCTGTGGCTGTAGAGGCAGCTTGGGACCTCATGAGACCAGGTGGCAAGCTAGCTGTTTTGACCTTTCACTCTCTGGAAGATAGGGTTGTTAAGAGATCTCTACAGGGCAGGCATGTGGCCGAGAGGGGGACATCATTGCGACAGAAGAGGGTGGAGTCTCACAAGGACAATGGTGCACAAAAGTGGGAAGTAGTCAAGAGAAATGAGCTCTGTGCAGATGATGAAGAAATAAATATGAACCCTCGAGCAAGATCTGCAAAGCTCAGAACTGCCATAGCTGTAAACAAGTTTAGCAGTTGTATTTCATCTGATATTCAACAGATTTTACAAAAGGAGGGGGGGCAAAGTCAAACATATGTGCAGAGTACACTGCATACACGAGCGCTTCTTGGAGAGGTCCTACTTCTGAGTTTAAGCAATTGAGGAATTTCAAGAGAGTTGTCTTGATGAGCGATAGAAACACACCTACTCTTTCTCTTCTTTCTTCATGTTATTTTCTCTTTTTTTATCCTTTTTCTCCCGTCGCTCCCTCTTTTCCCCTTATTTCTTTCTCTTTTCCCTTTGTTATGTAGGGGTGCAGTTGATTCACCCCCTCGCCACGAATCCACCACTGATTTATACATTTATGCATGCCTTACGTATAGCTTGCAATGGGGTTGGGTTTCCATCCTATCCAATACATTGTTGACGTTGATGTTTTACCTTCTTTTTGCTTTTTCTTTTCTTTTCTTCTTTAAAGGTACTATGTCCCTTTTGCAACAAACCTCAAATGCTGCAGAACTTTGCAGGAATTATGAATATGTCATGTATGTCCTATCTGTGAAATTTAAACGTTAGCAGTGTCCTCATATTCAAATTATGCAAGGAAACCTGTTTACTTGCTAGACTTCACTGTCAGACACTATTGAGTGACTGACTGGCTTTTTTTCTTCTTTGGTAATAACATACATGAAAAGAGTTGTAAAGGGTACATGAGCATTTGTCTACATCAATAGCCCACTTCTTGTGATGGCCAAGATTAAACTGATTGAATCTTTGCGCAGCATAAAACGTATGACCATTCGGTACAATTGTCTGAAAATCAAGACTATTACTTTTGGGCTCTATAGCCCTAAAGTCGATTTGACAACTAATAGTCGTTATTTTCCCATTTGAAGACGTTTTCAAGCCCCATCTTTTTTAGGGAAGTTCTAAATTAGTATTATCTTTCAAATGCAGTTGGAATTTAACTTTTTCATTTTTTTGGCCTGCAAATGGGACATAGTACCTTTAACACTCTACCCCCTTTTTTAGGCTGAGCTAATGCTGGGGGTTAGGGGGGGGGGGTCACAGCCGATAAGGCCCCCACCTGGATCTGCCACTGTATCTACTGTGGAATAGGACAGATCAAATAGACCATTTTCATAATGTGATGCAATAATTGTATTCCAGTAGTAAGAATGTGAATTGCATACATTACGTGTTGTATGTTGGACAAGCCATAATGTTTCTCTCTCAACAGGCGATTTTAAGTGCATAGATCTTTGTAATAATAATAACAATAATAATATGTCTTGTTTACCCAGGGTAGCCTCATCAGTATTCATACTGTTCTCCCTGTTGAACTTGAATTGTTTATAACAGGTGAATGAGATAATTTGAAACATGGCACTTTAAAAAGATTTATGCATTAAAAAAATTTGTATTGAGAGAGAAACTTTAAATATTTAATGCAGCATTATGCGTAGCTTGCAGCGTGGTTTGGGTTTCCAATCCTATCCAATGCATTGCCCACTCAAATACTTAAGGTAGTGAGCTTCTGTTTCTTCTTCTTCTCCTTTTTCTCCTTCTTCTTTTTCTTCTTTTCTTTTCTTTTTTCTCTCCCCCTCTTTCTCTATTCTTTTCTTCACTTTTACCTTCTTATCTTTTTCATAGCAGGGAAACTATGCAAAATGGCAGGAAACATAAATCAGCTTGAGCATGTTAAAAAACATTTGTTGGTGAAACTTATATTTGTTTCTTGTATAATTGGATTTTGAATCTACAATTTATGAATAAAAAGGAACGATATAATAAGTCTGCTTTTGAAGCCTTGTATCAAAATACATGTATATTCAGCTCATATATGTGAAGAAATTGAAGTAAATTATAGTTTGTAAAGTTACATTTACTATTTGACAAGCTTATTTTTAATTTACACCCTTGTGAACAGTTTGAAATATCTGTGAGTTTAAAGGGCAATACAACCCTTGTAATAAGGTCATTTGTATGAAACCAGAAAAATAAGATAAACATAATAGCAAAAGTTTGAGATAATTTGGACCAATAAAAAGACAATTGAAGAGCTCGGTTCCAAATGGACCACTTTTTGGAGGTGTCGGTGTTTGAGGCTACTTGAAATGTGTACATTTTTTAAAAATGCAAAAAAAGTCAATTTTGATTTTAAAAATGGTAGTAGTACCTTTTGGAACCGAGCTCTTCAATGAATGTTTGAAATATGAGATCACTAAATGAGTGCAAATCTCAAATTGGCAATTTGATCCTTGGATTGGCACCTCCAGATGTAACAAAACAATCAGTTTATGTTTTTCTCCCAACTGCCTTCTCCCTTTGGTCGCCACTCAAAATATATTATGAATAGCATAATATCATACATCCTATAAAGACAAAGACCCTCCTGAGTCATACATTTTTTGATGAAAATTCGAAATTTTAATCATTTTGTGTGTTGGAACAAATGGGAAAGTTGTCCGCTACTACATCACAGAAATATTACCGATTCAGCTAGTTTCAAGAGCCCATGCCTATAGTGATTACAACTTTCAAACATTCATAACTTTCTCAGTTTTTGTCCAATTTTATTCAACATTTACCAGTCTGCTTCTCTGACTTGTCTGCTTTCTTCTAGAGGACTTTGTTATCAAGGTTTGATTTCCCTTTAACAATTCAATGATTCTCATTCAGGTATGAGCAGAACCTTATACCCATACTCTAATCATGAATACATGTTATAAAACTAGTAGTTACACTCTTCCTTGTCAGAGCTGAAAAAGTAGCTTAACAGACATGGCAGCCTGTGTGTATTGGATTTTTGTCTGCTTTTTGTAATCCTTTATAGCTTTGCTTCACCATATTAAGTGGTCTATGGAAAGATCGTATCAGTTATCTGTATTCCCTTCATCACAACTTGCTACAGAAAAATCGAATCAGAAGCTCTTGTGATATAAAATACTGAGAATCAAAGAAAGAATGTTTTTACCAAAGATTTCTACCTTATTTTACACCAATGAGGTTTTTTTTTAAAAGATAAAATCATGCTTTAAAGTACTTCAATCCATTAGAATACCAATTTGTTTGTAGTACAGAGCTATTGAGAGGGGAGCTCCTAAGATATGCCACAGAGTTGCCCAAAAATCTCAACTTCAAAAATTCATAAGTTTCTCATATTTAACTGAATTTTTACTCAAACTTTCACTGACCTGTTGCTGTCATTTTTGTCTGCTTCTATTGAAACCAACCTAAATTAGGACTTTCCCTTTAATTTGTTTCAATTCATGTTTATCACTCAGGCCTACTTAACCTGAGTGCTTTGGTGAATTCTGTATTGGGATGAATTGAATACATTGAACCTAAATCTTATTGGGACAAAGAAAATTACCTGGTCGTAATGAAACCTTGTAATAGCAGGGATAAAGTTCAAAAGAACACAGATAAATTGGATTTGTAAAATTCCTTGTTTTAACACTGTTGTTCATTTCATGTTATCATATTGTAGTCATTTATTTGGTTTTAAAGTTTCCATGATTAAATGCAAAAGTGCATTGGGGATTGCCATACAGTTCACAACCCATCTATTCCTAATCTTTGCTCTTAAGACTGGTGATTACATACTTTTTTGTAACTGCACCTAAGGGATTTGATTGATGTTATTAGTCGTGTAGGTGTATATATACATTTATATCATGGACTATACAGAGATATAGTATACATACCATGTATACATTAACAGAATCACCCAAGAAACTGATATTTATTTAGCTTACTTCTATGAATGAGGTTTATTCTGTCATCAAATCAGCAATTCCACAGACCAATTCAAGAAATAAACGAAACCATACCTCTTTCTTAAATAGCTTAAACCCTTTTCATTGTGTTTTTTTGTGTGTGTTAAAAGGATTCCTGAAGTGGTATTTATTATGATGATGATTATAATGATGATGATGATAATGGTGGTAATGATTATAAAAAGAATATTAATAATAATAATAATCATAATCATATTCATAATAACAATATGAATGATAATAATCACAGTGTGCTCCATCACATTTAGTCACTAGCGAGCTTATACTCTCCTGTTATGACATTTAAACTTCCTTTAAAGGTAATACAAAGTTTAGGTATGGGGTCATGAATTTAGTTCAAATTAACATATTGGAAGCATATGCGATTTTACAATATTCAATGATCGTTGTCGCGGTTGAAATCGAGTCTAAAGTTATGAAATTGTAAAATAATAAACTCTTTATGTTGTAGAGCTCCCTCTCGAGACTGATATTACTTTAGTTTTAAAACAATAATTCTTGACTACAACCGACCGGTTTGCTATTCCCGTTTGGAAATTATATATCACTGCATATTCTGGGATTTTCATGGTCGCAGCTACCATGGCATTATTTGAAATATTTGAAATTTACCAGGAGCACCGGTAACTTTTTGATTATTCTATTTTGCGAAAGCAGAAGTGTTCTAGGGGCTATATTTTCTAGTGCTTATAAAACATCATCAGGGGCATCCAAATATATCAAAATTTTAAAGAATTACTATCCATCCAATTTTCAAAATTTTCCCAAAACTTTGCATTACCTTAAAATGAAGGGATGGATTATATTCTGGGATTTTAACAAAATCTATACGTATGCAATTATAAGCTTGTTTGCATAGTTAGGCTGTAGCAGACGTCATGCGGTTGGTTTGCATTATTAACTATAAAATGACCTATCATTGCCGGAAAGGGGGAAGCCAGAAATGTTGGTATAAAAAAATAATATGAGGATCAAGATTATCTTGATTTCTACTGAATTCATGTAGTTGAATCGGGTTAACTTGTACATTGAATAGCCTGTTTGATGAATGCTATTAGGAGTCGATGATTTTGTTTGGAAAATGTTCCCCAGACATTGAAAGAATAGAAAAAAGGAGGATAAAAACAAAGAAGAAAAGATAAAGAAGATAATGGAAAAGAAATGTGTAGTTAATTTAGTTTATTTCTTTATTAAAAAATTACATCCGTCATCAGACGGCCTTTCAGTGATACATCAAACAATAACATAGTCATAAACAATTTGACATGGTAACATAGTATAACTATAACAATCACACACGCGGAAAGAGAATGTTCATGTATTAAAGTGCAATTGAAAGGTTGACATGCACTAAAAACATACAAAAAAAACATTGAAGTAGTACAATCATTCTTCGCGAGTTGTTAGGATTTGGTTTGCGAAACTGGCTATTAAACTGCTTAGTGAGTCCACTGAAATCAGGTAAATGAATGCAAAAATATGCAAGATCAAACATTTATCATATTTCATCTTTCTTAATGGAATAACCACCCTAATTCTAAAGGGTTTAACCGTCCTTATACGGATTCAATTATTAACTAATTGCAAACCGTCCATGCGTACGGAGCTAATCATCGGGAGATAATCAATTTCATTACTATCGCGGCCTTTCATAGGTCTGACAGTATCAATTCATCTCATCACGCGTAAATGGTATCCATGAAGAG